GTCAATTAAAGCAAAACTTCGATCAGACCAGCTCGTAGGAGCTGATGCTTTTGACTATGTATGGGATCGACTAGAACAGTCTCAGCAAGCTTCTGTCCTGCACCTCCGCCAATCTGCCGAAGAAAACCAGCTATGGGATCCTGAAGTTATTTTCTCTTTTTTCAGCGTCTATGCCATAACCCACGGGAACAGCAGGAGGCTATTCAGCGCTTTACTTCTATACAACAGAGGGATGACGAATCGCTTATCGCCTACCTTGCTCGTTTTGAACGACTTTCATATGAAGCCAATGTAAACTCATGGCCAGATATATCACGTGTTACCACGCTACACCGGGGGCTACGGCCTAATCTCCGTCGAATACTAGAAGACTCGAATAATTCTCTCTTTGATCTTCCCTATAATGAATATATTGAACTTGTCCAGAGTACCGATCGGCGTACCCGTCCTAGTCCAAAATCAGCCCCGAAACCAGCTTTGACCCCGAATACAGACCCAATGGATACTGATCCGGTCCGAGTCAACTCAGTTAAAATAAACCCCAATCCTGTTCATGTTGGCTCTGTGAGAGTAGCCCGAGCTGCTTCGCCTGTTTTATCTGATTCTTCTCATGAATCCACCACCTCTGACCGCCGCCGTTTCCGACTTGCGAATAATTTATGCCTTTACTGCGGTTCTAATGATCATTGGATCGCAGACTGCGATGCCCGCTCTACTTTGTCTGATACTTCCGAGAAACCTCCGAAAAAGCTTACAGCCCGCGCCAGCAACCCGCCTCGCTATTAGGCCTCCTTCGGAGGCCTTATATAGGAAGGGGGAGTAGTGTAAGGGGCTAGAGCCCCTCAGCCTACTCGGGCCCTCAGCCCTCGTGTTTCCTTTCTCCTCGCCTGCCACATGATTAGTATATTGATTAGTACACTCTATCATGTGACTTCCCCCCCTTACTTCGCAATCGTCTCATCGCTGTTTCCTCTTCTCTTTCCTCTTCGACGATTCCTTTTGTATCCACCCTAGTTATTAGGTTATAGAGGTTTAGCCCTTGACAGCCAGATTATCTACTAAGTATAAATAAAGTAAGTAATATATTACTATTTTTTATATTATAATTAAAGTTAAAATTAGCTATGGGTAAGAGTTATTAGGATAATATATATAATAAATTAAAAACTATATAGGCAGGAATAATAGCACTGGATACTAAAGGCAGGTTTAAATAATTAAATAAAATAAGCTTTAATATATATATCTTTATAAAAAGTATATATACCTATATAAATAAAAATATACCTGTAAATAAGGACTATACTGCTAGTATTACCAGAATTCTAGATATTTAAGTGCCACGGATCTATATTTATAAGGTTATTAAATCTAAATTAGCTTACTCCAGTATTAAAAAGTCCATGGTAAACTATTTATATAAATTGCACTAAAAAGAATTGTAAGGTATATAATATTAAGTAAAAAGTTAATTATAAGCTAGGGGATTATAGTAGTCCAGCCTAGGGAATTAGTAAAAATAGCCTACTTAGGTACCAAGGTCGCGTTTATATACCCAGAATTCCTATGGTAATATATAAAATTATAAAAGTAAATTATAATAATTTTTAAAAAGGACATTTTAAAGGAAAACACACCTTGGAAGCTATTAAATATAAATACTATTAGTATAATATACATAGTAATATACTAGATTATATAAAAATTTATAATATTTATTAAAAATTTAAGTATATAAACACATACTTTATAGCAAGCTAGAGCCTTTGCTAATACCAAAGCAGCCTGGGGAAGTTCTAACTCTTAATTTTATTACTAGACTACTACCCAGTTTACCGAGTATATTTATTAGCCCAGGGGGCACAGAGAGTTATAATATAATATTAATAGTTATAAATATTTTAATAAAGTTTGCACTTTATATTCCTTATAATAAAAATATATCTCGGTGCCAGAACTTATATATTTAGTTTATTAAAAGGTGGTACCTATGTTTGGTAATCCAAAGTAATAGGTATTAAACAGGGGCTTGCTGTTTACTAGTAGCTACTAGTTAATACTATATTATTACCTAGGATTAAAGTAAAACTATCTACTGCGTTTTATCTGCAAACAGATAGTTAAATAAAACACTAAAACTAAATATTAAAGTATTACCTGCGAGCCTATGTAAGTTTCTTGCAAGATAATTAGGTTAACTAGCTGCTAATAGCACAAGTTATATATAATACTGTGATTTATTTATTTATAAAAACAAGCCTATATAAAGCATTAATGGGCTTTATTCCTAGCCTAAAAATTAATATTAATTCTAATCCCACTGGCCATGCGCTAGCAGCGTTGGAGTGTATAATATAGCTTAAAAAAAAATAATCCTTAGTTAAGGATGCGCTTGAAAAGGCGTAAAAAGTTATAATAAAATAATATAATAAGTATTAGATTAACAAATAATTTAAGATTAGTAATTAAGTTATACTACAGGCAAAGAATATTTTTATAATATAACCTAATATAAAATTAAACTACTACTAGCTAGGTTTATTTTTTATTATTAATATATAAGGAAACTAATTATATAAGCTTTAACTATTACTAAAATATTATTATCTGTATCCTATTTTTTATATATTTTTGTTGGAGCTATACTATAAATAACCAGGTTAATAAAGCCGACCCCCCGCCAATACTAATTAACAGCGAAGAGGAGTGGGAAGTTAATTAAATTCTAAAGAAAAAACATAACAAAAGTAGTAATATAAGCTATTTAGTATAATAAAAGGGCTATCCACCTAATAATAATACCTAGGAACCAAGATTGCATGTTAAAAATACTAAAACCTTGGATATCTAGCTTACTAATATAATATCTATTACCTGATAATATATGCGCTACATGGCTAAGAGAAAATAGTATTTTATTTAACTAAAATAAAATAGTATAACAGCCTAATAATACTAACCTTCTACCCGAAGAAATAACTTAACCCTTAAAGGGGGAAAGGACCGCATTAATAAAACAACCCAGGCAACTGGGAGTTACAGGAATAGGAGCCATGGGTGAATATAATAAAGTATATTTAGGGACAAGTATAAATATACTACTATTTATATATAGTATTTAAGGTTTTTAAACTATATATCTATACTCCCTTACTAGCCTAGCCACTCTCTTCTGCGCAGCAGGGTAATAAAATTAGGGAAGTTTAATAAACATGCAATGTTTAGTAACTATAAAAATAGCTAAAAAACTAGTAGCAATCTCCAGAGTAATACAAGGGTGTTACTGGCCAGTATAATAAATATAGTTTAAATAACCTGGCAAGAAAACACACACTAATATAGTATCTTGCTCTAAATAAATAAAATAATAGTGGCACCAGGGACTACCCCCCTGGGCCAAAGGCAAACCATTCGTATTAATATAGACCGGCGCAGGGGTAGTCTATACCTGGACAACTAAAGCTGCTAATAAAAACAAAGGGGGCGATAAAACTTTCGTATAAATTAGTAATATTATCTTATATAAATACACCGGACTTACCAGACACGTCCGGAGAGGATAATTCGACTCCGTCCAGCTTGCCAAAGCAGGAGAGGATGGAAATCCCTCCTATTCTAGTAAAACCAAGCAGGGCGCAGGTGTGAAAACAATATCGTCTTTAGAGAATAAACAAGGACAAACTCTACAAAGAAGGCGACAGTGTCGTGGGGTGGATTCTTTTAATAGAGGTAATAAAGCTTTGCAGCAAGCCATCTGCAAAAATATCTATATTAGTAAGCTCAAAACATGCGAGAAAGCGCTGGAGAAGCTGTTACCTTTATTAGCTAAGGCAGAAAAGTGCGCACGTACCGCAAGAAGTTTAGTAGTTTAAAAAAAAAAAAGGAAAAAAAAAAGAAAAGAGAGAGAGGAAGCAAAAAGCTTAGATTTAATAAAAAACTAAGCTTAAACGGCGAAAAACTGCAGTAAATAAAGTAGAACTATTACTATAAAATAACTACCTGTAAAAATATACCTACACTTACCCAAGCTCCAAGATATTGTACCAAACATCGATTAACTATATAAACTATTATAAAAAGGACTTAAGGGATTAGAATTTATAATATATTACCTATTATAACGCATATACTCATACTACAGTCTTTAAGGCTTCGAGGGCGAAGCCTCTTGGAGGGGAAGATAGTATTAGGAGTGCTTGGAAGCGTGATAGCTAGATCCTTAGCTAAGATGCTTAGTTAGGTGCGAAGTGTTTATATTCGCACCCATGGGCCTAAACTCTTAAAAACCAGCGATTAGTTCTGCAATATACGTGGCTCTATCTTCTCTCCTATATAGACACTCCCTTTCGCACCGTAGCGCCCCATTCAGCTCGTTACCAACCCCCACGCATAACAAGACAACCATAAGATTATCTTTTATTCAGATGGATCCCAGCTGCAAAGTGGTTAAAATGGAGCAGGAATCTTCCTCCAAGAAAATAATCCTTAAAATCAAAAGGCTTGGGCATGGAATCTAGGTCACGAATATAAGGTCTACAACGTGGAGTTATTTACTATTTAAAAAGCATTAAAACAAGTATTTAAAACTATTTAAATTCCAACCTTAGATATCTACATCTTTTCTAATAGCCAAGCAGCCTTAAAAAGGCTCCAATCAGCGGATACCAACTACAAGCCACACCAAAGAATCTCTAAATGGGCAACTAGAATTAAGGATAAGAATATTAATATTCATATTTACTAGGTTCCAGGCCATCAAGGAATTTTTGGAAATGCTAAAGCTGACGAAGCAGCTAAGTATAGGATAGAATAGACAAGTAAATACCACAAGTGCCCTATCTTAGATAGCCATTTTAAACGAGAGCTCAAAGCAAAATGCCTTGATGATTGGGATAAAGCGTAGGAAAATACTAAGAAAAGTAATTAATACAGGGGCTTTAATTCCATAGCTTTATGGAAGCCAAGCCCCCTAAGGCTTTCCAAGCAGACCTGGTCAACTATTATCTAATTAAAGCTAGGGCACCGTCTTCCATAACTCTAAGCTGTCTATCGACATTTACCCAGCCCTCGGAATTTAACAAGCTTTTTGGGATGAACTCGTTATTCGGAATGGTGCCTGTAATAGCAATGTATGCATCTGCAGTAACTATCCGCCTAGTAGACAGCTTAACCTTCCAAGTCTGTGTGTCCGTTTCGTACTGCGCGTTGTTAACTGTGACCTTTGTCAAGACATTGATATCCATCCGCCGTAGAAGTGATAGCACCGTTTTCTGAACAGGCTCAGTCGCCCCGTCCAGGAACACCTTTGTCCGAGACACCAAAGTAACCTTCTTCGATCCTGCAGCTTCAACCAGTTCCCCGGCAATTTCGACTCCCAGGGGGCCCGCGCCACCGATAACAGTCCTCCTAGCGGATTTTAGCGTCTCCTGCGCCTCATGTATTGCGTTCCTCGTGTCCTCGAACGCGGTCGCCTTGAACGGGAGTTTCACACCCGCCTGTCCTAGCGTCGCAGGCGTCGTGCTGCCGGACGCGATAACGGGGTAATCAAAGACAAACAAAGCAGCAGTATCCTTGGTCGAACCTGCAGACGTAGCAACTGAAACCGACTTGGTCGAGTAGTCAATCTTGATCACCAGTCCCTTGACGGTGAAAGCGCCGGCGGGATATTTGCGGAACGTGTCTGGGATGGAGTGGATATATTTGCTTGGTGGCAGGCTCTCGGGCTTGACGAGGAACCGGGGAGCAGCGATGTTGAAGTAGTATTCATCCGAGGGGTTGATGAGGGTTACGGCGGCTCGGGGAGTTTGTCGAAGGAGTTTGTGGCTTACTGCGAGGCCTGCGTGGGAGCCGCCTAAAATTATCACGGAGACGCGTTTGGACATGGTGATGTGGTTTGATGTTCGTTGTTCGTCGGTAATGCAAGGAAGGTGCTTCGTTTGTTTATTCATGAAGTAGATAGGCTGTGTAGATCTCAACAGTAAATTTATTGGGGATCATTCCGCGGAGGGACATCAAGTTGGGGCTAATCTCGAGAAAACTTTTCGGAGGATCTCAGTAGACCAGAGGCTGCACAAATGTAGTGATAATCGCCAACCATTTAATTACCCTCCTTTCAAGGGTAGCTTTCAAAATGTCCTGAGCTATCCTCGAACCCTGTGATCCCCCGGCCCAAAGACAATAGTATGACTACTATCTGTGTAGAAATGCAAAGCACTAAAGAATATCCTGCCTACGACTGAATTTTCAAACCCAGGTGCCCAAATGAGCGACAAATACACTCCCTTTAAAGCCATAATAATAGGCTGAGGCCCGACCGGACTCACAGCCGCGCACGCCCTTCACCTGGCTGGTATCGACTTTGTTGTCCTTGAGCGCCGGCCCGCCATCGTTGAGACAAGGGCGCCAGTCTCATCGTCCACCCTCATACCTTCCGAGTTCTGCATCAATTTGGCATCTTAGACAACTTATTACCGCGCGGCGGGGAATTGTTTCATCATCTCTCTATTACTGCTGATGGATATGTCTTCAGTGAGGGGAATCGATATACCCGGATAAGTGAGAAGAGTCTTCTACAAAAACTGCACCGTACCACGTCCTCCTGGATTGGACATTGTGACCGATACATCTATTTTGTTTAGTCACGCCCATGGCCCAGTCGCCTTCCACCGCGTCGAATTAATCGAGATCATGTACAACGGCCTCCCTGCAACCGCTAAAGAAAAGGTCCTAACGGACAAGAAACTCACGGACATTACAACAACCTAGGATGGAGTCATCGTAACCCGCGGACGGCAGCACCTTCAACGGCTCAATCGTCATCGGCGCCGACGGCGTCTACAGCAAAACACGCCAAATAATGCGCGACCTTGCTCTTAAAGAGAACCCGACACGACCATGGGATTCCCAGCAGCCGTACACGGTGACATACCAGCTTCTTTTCGGGTCATTCCCGTCACCGTCACCAGCTGGTCAAGGGTACGATGTCCAGTCGAAGGGGAAGGCGATCACGAACTTTAGCGGGCCGGAGCGGCGGTGGTTCTTCCTGTATAAGAGGCTACCGAAACCAACGAGCGAGCGAGTGGATTATACAGATGAGGACACCGACGCTTTCGCAGTGGAGTTTGCAGAGTGTCCGCTGACAAGAACGGTGAAGGTCAAGGATGTCTGGCCGCGAATGTTAGGGGCCGGACTGACGAATCTGGATGAGGGGATTGTCAAGAATTGGAGCTTTGAGCGCATTGTACTTGGTGGTGATTCATGTCACAAGATGACCACGCATCTAGGGCTAAGGTTTAACCACGGTACCCAGGATGTGGTTGTGCTGTGTAATAGCCTCCGGAAGGCTATTCGGGCAGCACCCAGTGGGGTTCTCGATACTAAGATCCTTACCGCTCTCTTTGAGAGATACCAGGCTGTCCGGATGAGCTCTGTGCGCTCGCTTAAGGGGGATGTACGAGGATGCACGCGTGGCATAATGTCTGGTACTATCTTCTTTCGCAGTACCTGGCGGTTCCAAACGTGGTTGAGGACTTATTCATGCACTTTGTTATGGCACCGGAGTTTCGGAAGGGGCAGTTACTGGATTATGTAGCCAAGGAGGAGCGCATGAGGGGAAAGATTAGTTGAATATATCCTATGAGACCAATGCGGGAATGCACTACGCAGGGACGGACATGGACTTAGAGATGGACGAAGTTGTAGCTCTTTTCCAGGTCAACCTTTTTGCTGTCATGCACCTGTGACAGATTTTTGTGCCACCTCTTCGTTAGTCACCACGACGTTTTTGCCGTTGCGGCTGCTGCTACGTCATACGTCATTCTTCCATGGTGGTGAGTAGCAACTCAACGAAAGACCTCCATAGAACTCACTTCTGTACCGGAGATACAAGTTGGACTATGTGAAGGAATCGATTGGTCGGTGAGCAGGAGACTTACAATAATAGGGGAGGTTTGAACTTGGGCATGGTGAAGATAGGGCTTGTAGCTCGGCGTGGTCTAAAAAAACCTCGGCGTGGGCTAAAATTCTGCCCCGAGACTCACCGCTCTTTTTAGACCACGCTGAGCTTATGCCAAGAATAAACTCATCATGGCCTAAATAATTAGTCAGTATTCTTAGGCCACGATAAGATTTTTAAAAGATTTTTAGACCACGCTAAGCATATGCACTAGGGCTTAATTACTATAATTAATAAGGTGTAGCCCTAAGAATATTTTGTACTATATAATACAGGGTATCCACTCTGCATATACTCTGTATAGGTTGACCAAACCATAACAATGGCTGGTACCGAAGTTCGGGAAAGAGTGGTAGAATAGATCAACAATATCCCAATCCAGGTATGTGTATATATATTTATTATATACTAGGTATATACAAACCCTATACTAACATACCTAATTATCAGAACAAGGTGCAGGAATCTCATAGAGATGATTCTAGTAGTATAATTAGTACTAGGTCTACTCCGTCAGATCCAGGAGATATATACAGGAACAAGAATCTTTTACACAATATAATGGCCTACAGCGGGTTAGTGTATATCTAATATATATATAATATATACTAAGTCTATATTAGGAAGCAGCTACTTTAGATAGTGTTGTCGTTGCGCGAAATACTAGTTATAAAATTAAGGTTAAAAAGATTTAAGAATATCTTTTAATACCTAATATCCAGAATAGCAGAGAAGGTATTTTTTATTTTATTTATAACTGCAATCCATTTCCATCCTTAAGGAATCCAAATAATTTCTCTAAGAAAAAAAAAAATAATATTTTTACACGGCTTATATTAAAGGTATATAGAGTATATATCTGTTTTATATTATATTAATACTTTAAATAGATTTAGTTTGCAAAAAACCATACAGGGGCTGCAAAGCTCGTTAAAATAGATCTTCTAAACAAGCTTAATAATAACAAATAACACAAGGCTTGGCATAGATCTTATATATATGGTTCGGTAAAGGCCTGTAAGCGGGTCTATAATTATATGCTAAGTATATCACAGGTATATAACCAGGTTAATCTTAATTTACTTAATAAACAGCACTTACGTTACGCCGAACCCTTTTATCCTTAAGTAATTAATTAACTAATTAAAAAAGAAACTAAAGATGTCTTCTATGCTTTTATAAAATATTGTGGCAGGATAGGTCCTTGTAAATATAAGGTATAAAATTGTAAACACCACGTAATATTTTATTAAAATCAGGTATGCTTTAGGTAATATACTGTATATATTAAGTATATACTAATTAACCCAGAATTATTTTCTTGGTTGCCCCAAGAATTTAGATATTAACCTTGGTATTATGCTTATCCAGTTCAATAATTTGCTTAGATTAATAAGACTTATCTTCAAGTTCTTATGGAACATGGAACAGGCCTAAAAATAAAAGAATATAATTTTATTACTTAGCTAATATTCTAAAAAAAAATAGTGTAGTAAGTATATTTCTAGTTTTATATATTTATATACTAAATATAGGATTAATCTAGCTTAAGTATATACTTACTATACCGGCAGGCTTTACATTCCAAAGTGTAAGGTTAAATTTGACTTGTATATTCTAATATCCTGGTAACAGTTTCCTTTTTTAATTTTAATTTATTAATTAAATTATATTTATTTTCCACCACCTCCAACATGATTACCTAAAGATATTGCAGATAAGGTGGTCCAAATAATCTCCTAGTATAATATCCTTAACCTAACTGTAAATAAATATATTTACTCTATATATATAGCATATACTAAGTATCTACTTTATTTAGGACAGTTTATAATCTCTCCACAGTTTACTAATATATATAATTAATTTGGTCCCTTAACACTACATGTATTATATTAAAGTCTTAATATTCAAGATAAAGTTTAAGCTTTAATCCGAAAACAGAGACTCTTAACTTATCCTAAAGGAACTGATATTGCTGGTATAATAATAGCTACTGCTTTTAGGTATATGCTTAGCTAATACTAGGGGTATTATATAAATATACCTTTAACTAATTAAAAAAGAATAACCAGCAATAGATATATAATATTTATTTTTTTAATTATATATTTTCTTATTATATGCTGTAATATGCTCAGGCAAGGTGTTTATTAATATTAAGTATATTAAAATAAACCTTTATTTAAAATAGTTAATAGCAAGACAAATGTCTTTTAATTTCTGGGTGGAATTTATATATACAAGTATATATTAGTATATTTTTTTAATATTACTTACTAACTTGCAAGTACTAGAAATTAATACTTTATATATATTTTTTTAATCTGAAACACGCGATGCATATACTGTAATATTTTTAAAGCTATTTAAAATACTTGGAAATATGGCTTGCTTACCTATACAGTTTCCCTATATTTAACATGTAAGAATAAGATCTGGACTATAACTATTAATATTGTAAAAAGCAAGCACAGGTATATAATAAATAAATATATCCGTATTTACACCCTTTAAGTATATTAGGTCTTGGAGATTATTTGTATATACTAGATATATCAGAGTGTCTAAGCACCTTTTTTATATAATTATATTCTGCCAAACTCACTTAAAGTGTAATTTTTACTTAAAATATAAGGACCACCCTGCAAAGCACCTACTTAACAGCCTTTTAAAAACACTATCTAAACCTAATTTGCTTAAGTATATAGACTATATATGCAATATATATTCTAAGACTAAATTCTGGCTAGAGGAAAAAAAACAGCCGTGGATTTTAAGTACACTAACCCTAAAATAATTAAAAATATAGATTAAACACTGGACATATACTTGGAAACATACCAGAATTAGTAAAAATAGTTATTTTTAAGATAATTAAGGTATTGGCCAGAAGCAGTCACTCCTGGTAGCTATTTTAAAGTAAAGTATATCCAAGGTAGATATAAAGTATAGTTAATAATATACTAACTATATACTTAGATTACAAAGGTTTATATTTAAGGCCTTTACTTAGAATAAGATATAGATTAAGGAGGGTATTCCACCTTTATAAAAAATCCAAATAAATGTTTAAAGGCGCACTAAGATTATTTAAAAGCAAAGTATGTTAAACTAAAGGGCTGGAGCCTGTTTAATTTCTCTAGCTAATTACTATATTATCCCTATTACCCTTATTATCCCTACTGTCCCTATTGTCCCTATTATCCCTATTGTCCCTATTATCCCTATTGTCCCTATTGTCCCTATTGCCCCTATTGTCCCTATTACCCCTATAGTTTAATATAAACAGTGTATATACTGTTTATATACCAGGCTAATACTATATATAGATTAACAGCAAAAAAAGGCAGTAAACTACCAGCAGAAGAAGCCACACTTGCCATGGAATCCAGGGAATCTATATAATACACCTTTTTAAAATACAGATAAAGTGGCCATGCAGGATACTAATTCCCTATTAATATCTAGCCTTAATACATACTTATTTTATACTAGGTATATACCTGCAAGTTAACAACAACCACTTAGCACTGTAAAGTGTTGGTAAAGATAGTTTATTAAGACCCTGTTAGATTACCTGCTGTGTATATACCAAACATAGACCCTTTAAAAAGTTTAAAGGAGCTTGAGGGACTTAAGAACAAGAGATATAGTTAAGCAATTAAGGAGCTTGAGGAAGAGGTAAAGGGGAAAAAAAAAAAAAAAAAAAAACCCCTGCAAGTGCAGAGCATATACCTAGTAAATATATAGTATATTAAAAAAGCCATTTTAATTCCTTAAATAATAGCTAGACTAGTATTTGCTTTACTTATTCCTAGACTTTATAATTTATTTTTAAAAACCAACTTTATATACCCTACACAGTCTCTAGATAACTTGCAGATCCTTCTTGCGCGGCCGGCTGCTTCCGCTACGTGCTACAAGTTCTTAGAATGCTTAGTATAAGGGGGATATGCTATATTTACCCTTATAACTTTTTTAGTAAAGCAGCTTGCGCTTAGGGGCAGATAGTGGGTAGTATTTAAAGTATAGGGAGATTTCACTGCATATACTTAGTATATTATAAAAAGCTTAGTTCCAGGGGCAATGCCTTGTAACCAAGACCTTACCCAGCCTCTAGGAAATATTAGATACCAGGGAATATATAAGTAAATACCTGGATTATATATAGGACAATGAACTCAGTCCCAAACTGCTAAGCAAAGTGTTATTTTCCTGGCTAGTAGTTTTTAGTTATATACTATGTATATAATACAAATATATTTTACTTACGCCAGCTGCTTAAGGAAGTTATAGTAATCCTAAATAATACTATATATAGGACCCTTACTAGCATATATTAGCCCTATGCCCAATATATATATATATATATATATACAGAGGGGAGGATATACCCAGGCTCTTTTATATAACAGGCAGTTCTCTATCCTCTGCTAAGGATCTATTATTTTAAAGCGCTGTTAATTATTAGTATATACTTAAAAGAAGCTATATATCTACTAACTTTTTACCTGCAATGCGCTCAGCCTGGGGAATATTAGTATAAAAGGGATTAAAAGCTATAAATCCTTAGTATTTGCTAGACCTATACAAGGAATAAATAACTTACTGGCACCGGGATAGGCGTTCCAGATATGGCGGCGAAGCTATGGAATAGGTAGTATATACTAATAATATGCTAAAAAACACGACCTATAGTAATCTAAAAATAGATAGGCTGGCTATATATTTAGTTACCATTAACTATAATATTGTATCTGCGAGGTTGTTAGCCTATATTTAATATATACCAGGCATGTTAATTACTTACACTATGCTATTAATACCTAATAGTTTTAAACTAGGAGTTAGGGTATTTATAAATAATTAGTATATACTACATATCTGTGGGGGCCCTATACTCTTGTTGTCCGCGGTGGTCACAGGTGTGCGGGGGTCCGGGTGTGGGTGCTAAGTAGGGTTTAGATTTGGGATAGGACCTGCATATGTTAAGCATATATTATAAATATATTAAGTAGATACTTACCGTGGAAGTAACCGTAGTCGGGGTGGGGGTTCACCCCCCCCGTGACCTCTGGATTATTAAAGTTTTTACACGAAAGCTGTATTCTCTGCATATTAATAGTATATGCTAAGAACAAGGCCCCTAAATAAAAACTAAAATTATTAGTGTATTCTGACATGCAAAAAAAAAAAAAATTAGGTCACAGATTGGTAGTATATGCACTGGGTATACAGAAAAAAAAGGTTACATAAATAGTTGTAATTATATACTCTGGGCATACAGAAAGGAAAGGGGAGAAGGAAAGGTTTTAAGTCTTCTAGTTAAGATATATACATAGTATATGCCAAGAAGGGACATGTGATACTTACTTAAAAAGGGGAGTTTAAAAAGAGAAGAAGAGAGAAAGAATAAAGAAAAAAAAATTAGGTCTTCTAGTTCCAAAATAAATGCAAACGCGGCCAACATTTTTATTACCTAATTTGGGTGTAGGATCATTCACAGTGTGTTGCAAAATCTGCCTCTATTGTTTAATATAGTGAATATGTTGATTATATATATTAATAATGTAATGAATAATCTCACGCAGTTTAATATTTTAAGCATATGCTCAGCATATGCTCCGACCGGGGACTAACACTAGGGCCAAAAAGGTTAGCATGGTCAAGCTACGCTGAAGGGATTCAACATGGTCTAAAAGATACGGAAAATTTAATTTTAGACCACGCTGAGCCCATGCCAAGAAAAGGCTCACCGTGGTCTAAAAAGGCGGTGGCGGAGGTGGCAGAATTTTAGCCCACGCCGAGGTTTTTTTAGACCACGGCGAGCTGGCACCCGGTGAAGATAAATGAGTGTGGAGAAAAGATGCTCCTCGGAAGATCTGTGCCCCACTTCGGGAATGACGTGGAGATTTGACTGTTCCCTTGTTCGTTAGCAAAATGTCACATAATTGAAGCTTGGCTTCGGCGAATGATCTTTTCATCGCTTTAGAGGTCGTGTTCCTCTCCTCCTAGCGCTAGCTCCACTTCAAACAAACATATGGATCATCCTGGACCGTCCTCCCCTAGTCCGGAGACCTGAACTATGCCGTCGAGGGTCTGTGATAGATGCATCCGGTAACCCACTGTCCCCTGTTAGTCCAACATTATACAACTCGCCTATCCAGATCACGCACAACGTCTGGTAGCTCTTCCATTTCCCTCTAATGGATGCTAAGAACTAATGCATATTGTCAAGTACCACCAGCCGGTGGCGTCACACTTCAAGAGCCCGAGATCGTCCTTTCTCCGTTAGCCTCCCTCCCCACTCCTGCGGACCCTGCCTTTCCTGAGCAGTCTCTCCGTGGAGTTCCGCCGCAGGACGCTGACACTAGCCCTTCGTGTTCGAGCTACCTGCATTTCTCCTTACCCCAGGAGGAATACCTGTAGGTAACCTTTTCTCATTACCCCAGAGCTAAGCTAAGCTCCGCAACTCCTGCAGCATTGAGAGCTTCTTTGATATTGCCCAGGATGCGAATCCTATCTTTTCGAAAGAACGGTTTCTCCGCCGCTATCGGAGCTCGCTTTGCAGCCAAGATCTCATCTCGGCCATGGCCATCATTGGTGCAAAACTGACCCAGTTTGCCATGAACGATGACGGATCAAGTATAGATGCCGGGCTGGACTCACTCCTCAGCTCAAGCCTGCTAGAAGATGACCTGATTGGAGACGCTCCATCCCTTGATCAGTTCCGCAAAGCCTATGTACTGGCCTTCTACGAGTTCCATCAATTCCCAGGACACCACTCCTGGCTGCGTATTGGTAGGTTAACGCGCATGGCCTATCGTATCGGCCTAGACCGACTTGATCATATCCGCGCGCTCTATCCCGACTGGAGCACGGTTAGCAATGAAGATATCCAAGAATGGCGAGCGCTATGGTGGCGTATCTACCGACTCGACACATACTCCAATCTCGCCTCCGGAACACCGTATCTAATTGACGATGCGGCCATCAATATCTTCTTTAACGTCAGTCAAGCAAAGGCTGCCTCCCGGGGAATATTCCTGCCTCCTAACTCGGACGGTCTATCTGAACTCCTTCCTGCCATCACATCAGACCCGGAGACCTTGCTAAACAACATTCACAACATCACCGTCGCCACCATGCGCCAGGCCGGTCTGGTCATCCGCATGCACCTGCTGCGATGGCAAGAGGGGATAGTGGCACATGTCGCCAACGTCGAGCGACAGCTAACTACACTTCGTCTTGCCCTTCCGCGGGGCTGGCTCAACCCCCGACGCAATGCGTTCGCAAACAAGACGCCCATCGACCACCATGCAAGGCTAATCACTGTCTTCCATCTGCGGATGGCACAATTGCTCCTTTCAGTCGTGGACTGCGGTCAACGACGAGCAGATGACTGGCATTCAAGCTGGCAGCGCGTTCTTGAGACGTGTCAGGACATTGCCTCACTGGCTGGTCAATGGGATAGTACATTCTGCCTCACTGTGGACCCGGCAATCACGTTTACCATTTTCACGACGCTTATCTTCCTTGATCTTCATAGAAAGTCGAGGACAGTGCCACATAATAGTCTCTACTCTAGTATCGACCATGACGTCACTGTTCTTCATTTACAACTCAGGCATTTTGGAAACATCTGGACGCAGGCGAGGCTGCTTACCTGTAAGTTGCTGGAGTCTGCCCTAGTATAGAGCTACATGCTAATAGATCCAATACAGTGTCGTTCGAAAGCTTCAGTGAATCCGTGTCTGGGCCGCTTTCCTACAATCATCTTGCTTTGATCCTGTCGCGCTTCGAGGCGCCGCTGCATCCAAGGTGGTTGCAGTTTCTTTCATCAGCTCGGTCTGTTCTCGAGGCTTGTCAATAATATAAGCCTAATCAAATCGTCCATTGTCATATTTTTTCCAGTTGTCAGGCCAAAACACATTCTATGAAGTTCAAATTCTCACTGAATCGAAGAGGCGTTCAAGCCCGTTATCACTAATTCTGGTATCATTTTGAACATTTTGCATATCGAACCATAGAGATTTCGTGAAACAAGTTATATGAGAATAGATTTGCACTATCAGTTTATGCAACTTACGTAGTATTAAGCGCTATATTCAGCGAAAGGAATAATTCCTACCCCATAGCTTTAGTTACTGGGCGCCACTCGCCTATGGTAGATATGTGTTTGCGGCACCCAACCTCCAGTAGCCCCGGGGTCAATTGACAATTTCCTGAAGGTTCTTCCGTAATACAACAGGGGTACGTACCCTTTTCCAATAACCAATAACCCTTACGTCGCTCAACCATGGCATGGGCCATCATTCGTCGAGAGCAGATTGTTCCTCGGACCAACTTGGGTAGTAGGGAAGATCAACAAGTGGATACTGCATGGTGTTTCAAAGGTTAACGTCAAAGGTAGCCATAAGCATCACTGACAAAATTATGATCGACAATGAGCTGTTTAAACGGTGCAACATGACCTTGAGAGGATCCAAGGACAAAAAAAGGTTAAGCTAGCTCAATGGCTATCCTCGCAGCCACGCTGGTCAAGTCTTGTCCATCGCCACCACCAGCATCATTTTGGGCACGTCGTTGTTGCCGACTGTTTGGACTGTGGTGAGTCCATTGTGCATGTATCATCCATGTTTTTGGATTATACTCCTAGTAATTCCTATAGTGGATGCCGTTTTTGTCATCCTCTTTCCCCTGGACCCTGGGTGATGACGTGATCCACAGTATAAAGTAACTATATAACTAAACGAGAGCTCCCATGGAGATATCGCAAGACATCTCAAAGACTCTCAGGTCATAGAATATAACGCCGAGACTCCCCGGCCTCCAACTGTTCCATATATTAACACCCAAGGTCATATCAAAAAAAAAAAAAAAGGTCCAACTTTCTACCCTCGCCGGAGCTGCCAGCTTCGCTGTATCGCATTTTGTACGCGCCAGTTCTCGCATCCCACTCTGAAACTTTTTGAAAGCAGCTAACACACCATGTTTTAAAGGTTTGTCCGTGGTATCCCCAATGAGCGGCTCAGAGCTCGATCTTTCCAATGCGACAAAGTCGAATGGTCATCCTCTGAGTGAGTAGCACCACCTTCGCGCAGACCATCTCCACATACCAGATCAACGAGGAATACTATCCTAACGCATATCCAGCTCCGACCCCTCCATCTTTAACCTCTACCCCCTCAACCAGGACAAGATCCCAAGCATGAACCTGGAAACCGCGCGCGTCTAACCTAACTACATCCGATGAGGAGTACACATTCGACGGCGTTGATGTTCTCCCGGGGTAAGTAGGTAATTTTCCTACACTGGAACACTTATACCTAACAATGTAATACGCCAGATCCGGTTACGAATACAAGTACTTCGTCAGCCACATCTACGGCTAAGGCTACAAGCCGTAAGAGCGGGTCGGCCTAGAGTACTGCGACCCCGACTGGGGATGCGATGGCTGTTCTTGTTGCAATGATGTGTGCGCTAGGGGCAGATTTGATTGCTGGTGGGGGTATAGCTTGAATTAATATAAATCGTCCTGTCCGGGGATCCCGAGCCCTATCTTGTGGAAATACCAGGGATCACAGTATCTCAACCAACCGAGTCTCTTGCATTCCTATCGAGAGGACTTCGGTGCTCTACATCAAGGTACTCTGCTAACCAAAGGATTCAAGAGTATTTCCATGACATGTATGTAGCCTGTTCTATGGGTTTTATGGGTTTTATGGGTTTAGCCGTTGACGACCTCTCCACCACCCGGGATATGCATCCATCGCGCAGTCTAACTTTTTCTGCAGATCTCTCGACAAGAAATACACAAGGCCCTTTATATCGGCCTCTAACTCTCGAGTTGCGGCCTATAACCTCTTCCACAGATGCTCTGGATTTGTTTCATCCGCTCAAAATAAATCCCGTTTTTGGCCGCAAATTATGCGCCAGCTCTGTCTCATCAGACGATGGACGTGAGTATACTTCAGCATCAATAAATACCCTAGACCTTATAAATAGAGATCAGCAACAGAAATTAGCTCCCCCGGTGCCTTTGAGATGCCAGGTGAGAAAGTGGACGAAAACATCTTGCATGTGCTTGTACAGTTTAGGAGAGGGGCTGTCATCGTTGGAGTTATGCAAGACACGAGTGTGGTGAATACGGCTGCTGCGGTGATCGAGATTGTCCAAAGTGGCGAGAAGAGGGTGGACCAAAGTATGCATCTCTTAAATTATGTACTTTGCGTTGAAGGGGGCAAAGAGGTGGAGCTCTCAGTGAGGAACATGAGAAGTTTGTCTGGGCGTTTGAGGGGGGACTGACTGGGTTTTAGGTCAAAGGGAAGTTGAAAGAGATGGTCAAGGGTGCTTTCACCTTAGTGGATATGTATTAACAATATTAGAGGTCAACTATTGCTTGACCACCTACATGATACTACCTACGTAAGATGTATCAATGCGATCTGCAAGGCCTCGAAGCGGACAATGTTGTTGCTATACGATTTACACTTGATCAAAAGTGAACCCATGAGACTCACAATACTCTTTTGTCATACTATTATGTTTTGTTACTTATGTAACTCATTATTATACCAAGCGTAGTACCATTACTTGACTCTGTGTGTCAATATCCGATCAGCAGAGGTGCCAAACTTAAACAACCTTCTCACCAAGAGCTGGCCGGCGTTCAGGAAGTCCAGGCGAGAAGTATTAAGGCGATTGGTGGTAAAAAATACGGATAACTCATGAGAACGTTAAATCAACAAATTGATCATCTTATATGTTCTGGTACACAGCCACCCACCTATTCGATTTGACCATCGTAATGAACCTTGAAAGCTGCATGCTTGTTACTACACGCTCAACCAGGAATGTCAGTTCACTTACACATTGGGAAGGCATAATAGCTCGTCTCATCCTCCATCATATAGCTGTAGAAATGGAACGGCCGCGGGATCTTCTTTAGCTCTCCTTGAGGCCCAGGAGCACGACGCAGATTTTCCAGGCTGCCGACCACCCGCAGCATAGCAGTTAAAGCAACCTTGCTAGCGTTCTGGCCCAGGCAGGTATGTGGGCCAACACCATAGTGGATATAAGACTCCATGGGCCGGTCGAGATGGACCTCGTTCGGGTCGGGAAAGACGTGAGGGTCCCGATTGGCATCAACCTAACACTGTTGTATCAGCATCTTTAACATCGCACGGGCATTTCCAAAACGTACAAAGCTCACGAATATTTTATCACCAGGGTTGATGTTAATTTGGCGGCCTTGCTCCTCGAGAGTGACTTGGGTTGTCGACTCGCGATACGACCCGAATATTCCATTAATACGAATCGCTTCCATGCAGTAGCGTAGTAATTTGTCATCCGACTCAGGCGAGTCTTCCTTGGCAAAGCGATTGATAGATGGAAGATGCTTTCTGCCGTCGTCGGAAAGGTAGTAGTCCATGATCTGTGTAAAGACCTGCGCTTGGTTGGGGACCATGGCAACTGCGGTGGGCAGGATCTGGGACCAGGTAATCTCCGATGGCCCCAAGCCGGTTTCCAGCAACCGCCTTACCATATGAATCCCATACTCTCTCATTGGGTATTCATTGGAGCGGAAGCCGTCAAATAACGTTGACACGAGGCTGGTGGCACTAATTTTCTTGACATTGGCTTCGACTACCGCGCCAAGTTTCTGAGCAGCCTCTCGAGCCTTGTGTCGCAACATGAAGGATTTGGAAGGATCGACGTCAAAGAAAATTGCTGTGAATATAGCTGCCATGATCTGATACATCTCGTGCTCAGTGAAGATACTATGGGGGTGCTTTTGGCATTTGAGCGGAAGGGAGAAGACGCTCGCCGCGAAATGGACGTGTGCAAGATTTCCAACACTGGATCGCGAAATTAACCATTTGATGTAAAATTTCGAGGAATGATAGAGACTCACTCGCGGGTGATATCTACTTGATTCACATTGCCTAGGTTGCATGACTTTTCCGCCAATAACCTTCGGGTAGTAGCGATGTAGAATTCTTTGACGTGCTTGTTCCATTGGTCACGATAAAGCGACTGGCTCATAGTCTGGCGCTGGCTGCCATGGAAAGACGTGTCTCCGGAGAGCATAAAGTCGTATCCGCGCTGGCCAAATACGTACCCAGTTGCCTCGCCCCAAGTGACACGGAACATATCCTTATCACCGAGGATATAACGGACATTGGGATAGGCAAATATGTTGATCCGGGGAGGAATGAATGCAGGGCGATCCCATGAGTAATCTTGCTCCCGCCCCAAATCTGTCATAATAACTTTGTTCTCGCTAGGAATAGTCATTGGATAGTGAGCGTAGATCGAGTCTTGCTTGAACCAGTTGGGAAAGGCCCGTAACGCAAGCTTATAGAATACGCAGCCCTGGTTGATGTCCAAATCGTAGTGGGACTCTTTGTAGCCCCAGTTTGTCAAATTGTGGGAGTTGTAGTCAATCTAACGATGGGTTCAGCTTTCCTCCTTCCTAGGAGGCACAAGAGCCACTCACAGTATAAAATCTATCGCCTCGGACAAGAGCCACCGCATCAGACAATACAGCTCGTGAGACGGTGTAACTCGGGGCAATCCCGACCCCAGGTACCATTGGCTCCTTAGCCTCTTCTACCACTATACCGGGATAAAGTTCCACATGATCAGGGTGATCATAGAGATGACGAAGTCGATTCGCAATCTCAGGGTCAGAATTGATATCTTCAAAGGTTTGGTGAGGCTTTAGTCCAAAAAATTTGCGGAACTCGTTAAGTGAGGCAACTCTCCACCGTCTGGCCTGCTCTATCCCTAACATCTCCACTGACCGGAGCACTTTCGGGATATGTCGCGCTCCAAAGGAGCCGGAAACCTCCTCGATTGCATCGGTCAGGATAGCTACCAGCTCCTCATCTTTGAACTTACCATCCGCCTGGCGCTCCAGCTGAGCAAACGTGCGTTTTGAAGGATCTTTATCGAGACTCATCCCATATTTGTGCATGGCACTGGTGAGATCCTCCACGGATGCTTCCTCTCCCCGTTTGCCGACAATTTGTTGGTAGGCTTTTTCTGTCCAAGCCTCATCCCTCTGACTGATGGTTGAGTGCCATCGATAGGCAAGGTCGAATTCAACCGAGCACTGATTTCCGAGTCCAGAAGGGGTTGTCTCGTGATCCCCCATTCTTGCTCGGGGGTCCAAGCACCAGGTACTATTTACTCGATTGAGATTGATAATTGTACGCAGATAATCGTAGAGAGTAATATTGATGTATAGGCCACAGGTTATCAGTCGCCCCGTTTGAAATAGTTCGTTGTCATATTTCGCCCACGCTTTTTTAGCGTCATCCTCCGTAAGATGTTCGGTTTTTGGTTTAGTAAATCGACCGTTTTCATTGATAAGAACCAGCTGTTCAACCACATAATTATGGAATCGATTCAGCATTACCAGAATAACACCGCATGCAGCCGGCAGGGCCTGGAGTCGTGGTTCAGAAAAGCAGTCCGGCTTCAACCGTCCGCCTTCAAACGTCCGGATCATGTCCTGCTCTTCTTGAACGTCTCCATATAGAATAGACAGGTCCAAATACGATGAGGTCTTATTCTTATTTTCATCCCGTGGGTCGGTTTGAAAGATGTCTGGTATGGTCAGTTTATATAGAAGCTTCAATCATAATTGTAGAAACACACCGTGGATAATCAAGGAGGCCCAAGTAAAGAAAATGCTCGAGACTTTGTTTGGGTGCGGCCTGAACTGATCTCTGGCCATAACGCTATCAAAAAGTAGCCCTGGGTCTGGGAGATTAGGTGGCAGGGTAGATTGTGGACGAGTGGTACGAGCATATTCTGTGTTGGCAGCCCCTAACCAGGGAAGGGTGGGACTGTTGTAAGACCCATCCGCACTCCGGTAGGCATACTTATCACCGGCATATCTATCGCCCGTTAGAAATTCCGAGAATGAGTGCGATCGCAGAGCCATCAGACTAAGAGTTCTAAGCTTACGAAAGTGGAGGGTGAGGCAACGAGTCCCAAAGTTCTTCGAGAAACGAGTTGGTCAACTTCACCCGCGTCTTAGAGTCATCGGGGAGTCTACTGACAAGCTGCGAGGGATTTCAGTAATAGTCTGTGCAAGGCAATCAAGAGATAGGCACCTGAATGACATGTTCCATGAACATCGTCTTATCATCTATTAGTTGTCCGGTCCCCTTTGTCTTCTTAAGACGTAACAGAGTGTTGATATCTTTGATGCCCAGGCTTCGAAGATCTGCCCATAGCCCGCTATTGGTTTCATCCTCGATGTAGGTGCCATCGCCTGTCTCTGTGGGCAGCGGGCGACGAGAGGCATGAACCAATTGCCTATATTTCTTGAACGCATCTAACAAGCCCTCCTCGTGGTGCTTGTCGGTCACTGACAGTTTACCGCTATGGTCGCTTTTCTGCACACCATTTGTCACAGCCTGAGGGCGACTGCTCTCACCTCCACTGCCCGAGGAAAACTTCATCTTGGAAATTGAGTCTCCGTACCTTTCTGCAGAGTCTCAATGGTATTGGCAAGTTGTATTGCTGACAGTAAGATAATATATGAGAGGGGCTTCCGTGTGGTTTTTATTCCTTATGACCCACAATTCAGATTGAGGTGCTTACCTTGCGGTGGAAGCGTGCGTTGTTTCGCCGACAACAATCTAGTAGTGGAGGCGTCAGCTTTGCGTCATGGAGGGGGGCATACATACGACAAACAGAAACATATCCCTGATGTATGATTCGCCTCGAAGTATATCAGTGTAGTAATGGGCAACCAATGGTGTAGCCCCGTTTGGCTGTCAGAAGCTTAAAGGCTAGGAGACGACCGAACACGGAAAGTTCTAGACAAATAGCGATTAACGATGTTACCATATGCGAAAGTTTGAGATTGCCTTTATCCGGTTTGGACGGCCCCGTACCAGACTTGGACCGCTAGTAGAAGGATCGGAACATGACATCAGCTCTTGTGTTTTAAGTTCGATCCGTCGATTCCTTAAGCTTATTTTGCCCACAATGTAACAGCATATTTACACACCGTGGGACTTCAGGAGCTAATAGGCTTTTTTTAATAAAGTTGGTGTTGTATGCTATGTCATACTCATGGGGTCCCACCACGGGACGTTGAGGCTCCCGTTTCGGAAGACCAATCGCTCACTTGAAGTACCGATTTCGCTAACCGAACCATTTCCGCGGGATGTAACATGGTGATACCTGCGGATACACCACTAGCGGCAGGCTGAGCATTACATATAGCCCACGGTTCAGCAGTGCCTGGTTCAACGAAGCCTATAAAGTGCACGTCACATGCCTGTTCATGAAATGACACCCACCGTCCGTATAATGTGATCCTACGCAAAACACAGGGCTCACATCTCCACGGAGAATTGATAGGGAATATCGAAAGTTGCAAACAAGATGGCCAACCCTGAAACTAGCACTGGTCCCAAGGAGTTTGTCCTTTGTTTTGACGGGACTGGGAATAAATTCCATGGCGGCGTGTCCGATAGTAATGTCTTGAAGATTTTCAGGGTGAGTTTTCTGTCCCTCGATGGTCACGGACACTGCTTACCCAGCGTGAAAGATGCTGGACCGTAACGACGCCAGTCACTGCCATTACTATCAACCAGGTATAGGAACCTATGTGACCTCACCGTCACTCACGGACAAAGGAAGGCTGGAGAAAATAAAGTCGGCGTACATGAAGGCCAAGGACTCGGCCATCGGGTCCACTTTTGCAGAGCATGTCATGGGGGGATACAAATTTCTCATGAGATACTATTCACCCGGTGACAAGCTCTATTTTTTTGGGTTTAGCCGTGGCGCTTATGTTGCACGCTTTCTCGCTGAGATGTTGGACTATATTGGACTTTTGGAGAAGGGAAATGAAGAACTAGTGCGATTCGCATGGAAGACATTTTCCAAATGGCAGCGGCGGGGCAGAGATAAGAAACACAATAATGACGAATTTAAGTTTATGGCTGCATTTCGAGACACTTTTAGCCGGCCAATTACCCAGATAGAGTTTCTGGGTTTGTTTGATACTGTCAATAGCGTGCCCCGATTTGAAAACCCGTGGATGCAGCGCAGTCGATTCCCATACACGGCACGCACGTCTGCAAAATTTATCCGGCACGCAGTGAGCATTGATGAGCGACGAGCAAAGTTCCGGCAGGATCTCATATCAGAAGTCAAGCCAACCGAAGGCCACCAGCACTCATGGTTGCATCAGCACCTTAAAAAGCATGACTTGTATCTTAAACGTCATCACATAATGCACAAGGGGCAGGGTGCAGACACGAAAACTAGCGATGAGTCTGGGCAGCAGGCTTCTACAATCTACCGGCCTACCCAACGCATGCGTCGTACAAACAAGGGTAAGCCGCAACCAATCCGCCGACAGGCAGATAGTTCAGCAGTTGCAGCTGGCGCCTCTTCCAAGGAGAGCCAGTCAGACTATAGTTGGCAATCAGCTGGTTCTCTTCTTGAGTCTGGCATAGGCGAGGCCAAGACCACTTCCAATCACGGAGACTATGAGTATGTTGAGGACGCTCCGCAGGATATCGAGGAAGTTTGGTTTCCAGGAGGCCATGCGGATATTGGTGGTGGCTGGGCACTTGATAATGGGGAGCATTGGGCCCTGAGCCATGCTCCACTGGTCTGGATGGTGCAAGAGGCGCAGCGGGCAGGGCTTGTATTTAACCGAGGAAAGATGGAGCAGTTCGACTGTTGGGATGAATCTTTTGAATCTGATCTGTCGGCTCATGCTGTCCAGGAAAAACGCGGTAATCAGGAAACCGGCAGCGAGTGTGAAGCCAGCAGCAAAGAAGGCGAGGTTGACGAGTCGGGTTTTTGCCAAGCATTGCGTTCGTCTAGTACGGACGGAAAACTTCACGACTGCTTATCAATTGGAAAGGGAGTGCCAACTTCGTCGGTCTTAAGCTGGAAGATCATGGAATATATGCCTTTTCGACGAATGGATCTGCAGCCCGATGGATCGTGGAAGCCTATCCGGTGGCCACTTCCCTGTGGCGAGGTACGCGATATTCCCGCTGATGCCCAGATCCATGTCTCCGCTATTCGTCGAATGCAAGCGAATCCCGACTACCGGCCTGGCAATCTCATTATTGGGGGCGGCGGCAGAGGTGTCAAGAAGGCAGCAGCAAAGTATGGGATCGGCGAATGGGATATCTTCAAGTATTCTGGCTCTCCGGTTCGAGAGACATATATACGTAAGAATAACGGGGGTAACACGGCAGGGGCCGTCAGTGTTCATTAGTATTATTCTGTTTCAAAGTCTACTAAACCCGTGGGAGTGCTTATCATCTTCCTTTCATGGCTAGGTGATTTGCTTATACGATGAACACAAAAAAAATGGCAATCCTGACTTGTCCCTCAGCAAACTCTACGATCCCTTTCCACTTCGTGTTTAACATTAGTCAAGACTTGATAAATAAGATTATCGAGCAATTTCAACTAAATGTGCAAGTATAATGCGTGGCCAATTTCCCGGGCCTGAACAAAGGCAATGTATGAAAGGGCAGCTGGACTTGCGACTAGCCAGCAATGTCGTCCCTTGATTGACATAACGCTTTGAAACGTGCAAGCTGAATTGATCGCCCCTTTTTGGAGGTGGTGGGTTCGATTCCCATCGGCACCACATTTACTACCACAGTTGAATCACTTCCCACAATGATATCAAGTCTCGTACATCCCACCAACCCATATTAACCACACCGCAGAAGAGGTACTGATACAACCAATGTTGCAGGAGATTAAGTCCTGCATCCAGGGAGCCAAGAATCAACGGGTAGACAAATGCGCGGGCGACTTTAGCCGCCCATCATCCAATATAATTTGCCCCAAAAACATCCGCCCTATTCCTGTCTCCCCCGCGTTACTCGTACCTTCTGGTCTCTTACTTATCCCGGAACCATATCTACTAGCAACCTCACAGTAGAAAGCACCCCTAACACCTCGGTCAAACATCACCTGTACCATGATCACTATGGATCAGGGCATCAAGCAACCTACTCGGAATGGGTATCCAGCCTACTTAGAACCCTAAAAAGGGTCCAGGAAAGCATATAACCGAACAGACTAGGAGAAACCTAGTCGAACAGTACGGTCCAAAATAGAACCCCTACCGTATATCAAATCTACGGAGGAACCTGACACCGTAGTGGAGAAGCTTATCTCACATACTACTAAAGTGGTCGACGCTTGCACAACTACAGCGAATCCATCACCATACTCACGATGGTTCTCTCCAGAGCTAAAAACACAGCAGTGTGGGGTTAGCAACACGCGTTGGAAATGGCAAGACAGCTGTGCGCTGAGAGGATGCCAGAACCCTTTCTTGCTGGAGTTATTTAAAGAAATGCGTTAGAAATGCCGAGTGTCGACAAAGGCCATCGAGAAGGCGAAATCGACCTGCTGGAAAGAGTTTCTGGACAAAGCTGGAGAAGGTTATTTGTGGAAGGCAGCATCCTACGTGGGGCCTCGGGAGGCATATGTCAGCATTCCGGCATAAAAACAAGGGGTTCAAGAAATAGCAGACAATAGAGAGAAGTCTGTGCTATTTATGGATACATTCTTTTCCAGGATAGAAAGTCTGTTTGAAAAGACGTGGGAGAAATAGGTTTGGTTACATTGCTGCTTATCCTATGGTTGGCTGTGGGTTACACTTACATCATGTCCTCTGGCAGCCTAGTAAGTGTTACTCGTTCGGGAAGGAATTTCACTTCCTTCCATTTCTTCTTACGAAGTATCATATTTGCATTATATTACTACTCTTGCATCACTTAGGCTAACTTTCTATCACCTTTTTGCAAACATTTGTCTTTCTGCAGCATTTTTCTAGTTCATCGTTTAAGTAGATACACGTTTCTACATCACCGCGATCAAAATAGGTCAAAAGGAGCGCAACTGGCATCTAGGCTAGCAATTGGACTAAAGAATGCAGAGCTAAATGTTGAGATGCAATATCAGACGCGACAAACGTCACTTTTCGACCATAGCCTAATCCCCTCAGATCAGGATGCCCTCAAATTCCACCCAGCGGCTTCATTGCAACTACGATTTGGATATCCACATGAAACTGCAGCACTACAGAGAGACTTCTTGATTACATCGCCCTAAATAAGCCGAAGCACCTATTAGTCCTCAAAACTCTCGAGAAACCGACCCAATTGCTTGTTAAAGCCTTCGTAATCTTCAAACCCATCGCGATGGCTACGCGGTAGACGCCTACACGGAATTGTTCAACTGGCAGGCTGTGTTTAGCTTAATACGAGATCTATCTTATGCAGACGGCTATGAATGGAATTGCGCCATTTTTATGTGGTTGTGTTTCGGTCTCGCCTTCGGGCGTACGTGAATATCCATCAGTTGCATGAACTAGACGCGCACTCGCATTGGAAGCTGTTGCCAGTGGGGGATTGTTGAAGTATTGGTTTGGCTGCTTGTGATGATTATTTTTTTGCATTTGTTTTTTTTTTGCATTTGTTTTCTTTGCATTTGTTTTCTTTGCTTTCCTTATGTTTTAGGGCTCAAGATATGTTAATGATTAATTAGGCGTCTGGCGCAGTCGGAACGATGCACGATTGGGCGAAGCCAACCAGTGGCACAAACGGGAATGTGGGGCTTCACTAGGCGTGTACAAACAGATAAGGTTTATCACAACGTTGAAGCTAGTCGTCGAAGACAACGTCAAGGGATGGAAAAATACGAATTGGACTGGTAAAGGAAAGCAAGAATTGGTATGCATAGACATACCACAGAGTGTTTCTTATCACTTCGTTTCCGCTCACCCTTTTACGTCCCTATAACAGTAGGACATGGATTCTGAAGAATATCGTGTGACCAAAGAGTTTATGATAGAGACCAAGCTTATACTTAGTGGCGACCTTTTTTTTTTTTTTTATGGGGCGTATTATTCCAGAGCAACCGCCCATCTCCTTAGTCCATTTTTCATAGCAGGAACACTGTTATTACGTATTTCGCAGCTTTAAAAGTCAATTTTTACTATGCGCGGCATCATAACGTACATGGATTGTTATGCGTGGGGGTTGGTAACGAGCTGAATAGGGCGCTACGGTGCGAAAGGGAGTGTCTATATAGGAGAGAAGATAGAACCACGTATATTGCAGAACTAATCGCTGGCCTTCAAGAGTTCAGGCCCGCGGGTGCGAATATAAACACTTCGCACCTGACTAAGCATCTTAGCTAAGGGTCTAGCTATTGCGCTTCCGAGCGCTCCTAACAGTGTATTGGCTACAGTCGTTCAAAATGCAACGAGGAGAGGGGCGTACCCAAAGACTCCGAGAGAGCCTGCGCGGTGTCTATGAGCCTGCTTGCCAATGCACTAGCGTCTTCCACCCTCATGAGTCGATTGGAAGTTAGGATCTCAACCGTCAACTGCTCTTTTGTCGTAACGGAGCGAACTAGTACTTGATGGGAAAGGTCGATCTTCGCAGTCCAAGATGAATCGTTACATATGACTCCATCCAGAGAGAGAGGAATAGGCTTCTTGTTTCCATCGAGATGGTTTATCATAAAACCGAGCTTCGTCCGCTGTGGCCAGTCCGTGCTGTTGGCGACAATGTCGGGAAGATCCAAGTAACCATAGCGAGCCACTTGAGCAAATTGACCATGCAAAGATCGACACAGCCTGGACACTGTTTCTGTGCCGAGCAGGCGTACCCGGAATGGGTTGATATTGATGCAAGGTCCGAGCATTGACTCGACCCCCTCTAAAGGGATGTCGCGCGTGTTCATAACAACACCAAATACAACATTATCCGTCTGTGCCAGCTGTGATAGGATAATGCTGAGAGCTGCATTCATCAGAGTGGCCACAGTGAGGTCCTCTGGGCATGTAGGGAGTTTCCCACTAGCAGATTGTTTAATATCCTTCGGAATCTCGTCGTTGCAAATATTAAATAGAAGCGCTGGCGAGGTCATGGACGAGCCTTCGAGGTTTTTCCGCCAGAACTGGAATGCCTCCTGGTTTTTTTGACGATCGCAGGTGTATACGTAATCCGCGAATGGTGTAGCAAGCGGAAGCGTGGGTGCCGTTTTATGGCTATTGTTATAGTAGGATGAAATGCATTGGATCATAATAGGAAACGAGTAGCCATCATATTGGGCATGGGAGAGACGGACCATCAACGCATGCTCTACCTCTGAGCTGGAAATTAGTGTGAACTGGACAAGAGGCTTTCCCGATAGAGGCGACAAGCTAAGGTCAAGGTCCGATCTTGACTGGCAGAATGCTTGCAAACTGGCGTCAGTTTGGATATGACTGAAGGTGACATCAATCTCTTTCAGCACCACCTGAAAGAAGCTATCACCGACCTTTGTGAACACGGTCCGCAAACTAGTGTGTTGAGACACCACAACTTGGCAAGCAGCACGTAGTTGGTCTGGGTCAACCTTTCCATTCAACATGAAGCGAAATGACGAGAGAGTCCATTGAGTAATGAAAAAAACTTGGGATTCCGTGGCAGGGACGATGTCAGCTATTATATTCCCAGATCTAGCCTCGTCCAACTCTACTGGAAGTTTGAGCATAAGATTTTCAGCGTCCACGAGGGAGAAAGGTCTGTACTTGACCGTGACATCGATTGGTGGTCTCTTTGAAACGACATCAGCTAGATTGCTCAATGTCTGGTTTTCCAATATATCTGCCAATGACACGTCAAGTCCCTCCGACCGTGCGATGGCCGCCATTTTCATCGCATTAAGCGAATCACCCCCCAACCGAAAGAATCCATCGTTTACAGTAATAGTCGCATGTTGTAGACCAAGTACGGATGCCCATAGATGCTGCAACCGCCTCTCTGTCTCGCAATTTGGTTCTCGTCGGGCCTCTGCTGCCCGAACGTTTGCCAACATGTCCAGAGTCATTGTACCAAAGATTTCTCGTAATTTTCGTCGGTCCTTCTTTCCGGTGGCGGTCATCGGAATCCGGTCAATAGGGACGAACGCGCTTGGCATCATGTAAGTTGGTATTCGACTGCTGAGTTGCTTTTCCAATCCAGAGAGTATCCGTTGCACGGTAGTCTTCATGTCTCCGTCGCGTCTAGTGTATCTTTTGGCAGCCAGAAAGGCCACTAGTAATGGCCAATGGGCCTTTGTTGGTGTAACAGCATCGACAATAACGGACATCTGAGCGTTGTCGGCCAAGCTCTGCTCAATGTGATGTTCTACTTCGCCGAGCTCTATGCGATTCCCGCGGATCTTAACCTGCTCATCTTTGCGCCCAATAAAACAAATACTTCCGTCAGGTTCATACCGTCCCACGTCCCCTGTTTTATAGACTCTCTCAGGTGGATTGCTCTTCCGAAGCTGTTGAAGCCAGACGGGCGCCGGAATAAAGGACGCGGCTGTTGCCGCCGGGTTATTGATATATCCTCGACCGATACTGGGACTTTCGATCACCAGCTCACCCACCGCCCCCACAGGCACCAACTTGTTGTGGTCGTATTGATCCACTATCCAGAGCACAGACCCACTTCCATAGCCTATATTTGTATGGCTGGCCAATGGGTGTATGAAACTCCTCACTGAGGATACTGTTACAGTCTCGCAAGGACCGTAGGCGTTGATGAGATTCACCCGGTCAGCCCAAGTGGCAATGTGAAGCGGTGTCAGTGGTTCACCGCACAGAACCAAGTGGCGTAGGAAAGGGACATCGCTGGGTTTTAGCAGGCTGGTCAGCGACGGAGTCAAACTCGCCCAATTCACTTGTTTCCGGACCATAAACGCCGCGAGGTTATTGTGGCGGTCAAATTCGGACGGTATACAGATACATCCGCCGAACATTAAAGTATAAAGAATGTCGCGGTTACTGACATCGAAAACATAATTCGCAAATTGTAATACCCTTGACTGGCGATCCAACCCGAGCTGTTGTTGATTTGCCTCTGCCCTCAAGTAGAACGCACGGTGTTCAATAACAACGCCCTTTGGTTTGCCTGTCGATCCTGATGTGAATGCCACGTAGACTGGATTGTTTCTTGTTGCGGCTAAACCTATACGTTGCTGCTGAGAGCTATCGGGCTTTGAGCTAAATTCATCCTCTGACAATATTACCGTCCGTAGGCCAAGCCTCGCTGCTATTGCGGAAGTATTGGCCGAACAGACTATTAATCCTGCTAGAATATCCTCACACATGCTTGCCAGTCGAGAAATGGGGTAGGAAGGATCTAAAAATGAATAGGCTCCTCCGGCTCGCAGTACCCCAAGAAGAGCAACTACGGCGAATTTGGACTTTTCAAAGCACAATGGCACAATGGACTCAGGACCGACTCCCATAGTATGAAGATGTATAGCAAACTGGTACGATAACATGTCCAACTCGCTGTATGATATGATACCATCCCAGGAGTCCACAGCTGAACGATCAGGAATTTGGAGACACTGTTCGAGTATGGCATCATGGACACACATCCAGTCACGGGAAGGCAAGGCCGGATTCCACCTGCTCAATTGATCGATATCGTGAGTACTGCAAAGATTCAAATCACCCACTGGGACGTGAGGCTCGGCACAAAGTCGATCCACCGCAAGCTTAAATGTTTCAACCAAACTCAAAGCTTGCCTCTCACATATATGTAAAGTACTGAATTCTAGGGTGGCGATATGCTCTGAGTTACCCATCTCAACCTGCAGAACTATATCGATATCCTATATTCCGGCGTCAGCGGGGTCTTGCGATCTATAGCTTATCCACTTTAGGAGCAAGACTATAACCGGCACGAACCTCAAAAAGCTGAGAAGGTGATTTTGTTGCACTTAACTGCGCAACCTGCTTCTGTACTAGGGCGGTGTTATACTTCGTGTTGAACATGTCCTTCTGACAACACCATTCATCCCACGAATTGCCTCGGAAACAAAGACTGCAGGTGGCACGGTTGACCATGCTTGCAAATGATGCGGAGCTAGTCAATTCGAAGTCACAAATCCATACTTCGACCTCGCTGCCATCAGTTCTTGCGTAAAGAAAGGAAATATTTTCGGAAGCAATGTATAGTCCAAGGACCATGGCCCATGCCAGCTGAAGAAATGGTGACGGATCTCCAGACTGCTGACACATTGCATCTCCCAACGTTGAAACATGACGCTGTCGCTTCTGGGTCATTGGAGTAGAACTTAAACGTGGGAAGAGGCAGTATCCGCCTAGATGGCGATGTTCCTCGTCATGTAGATTCATGGTTCCGGTTGGAATATAGAACTATCCAAAGAATATTGAGTCTATAACTTGATATCAGCAAGCTCGGCCGTCATCCCAAATGATCTTTACTTCGGTTAGATAAACATTCACCTAACGAGAAGCAATAGTCTAATATACCTTGTTCCTCTCATAGTCTTGGCCATGAGAAGGTGGACCATGAATGAATGTGGACGATGCATGCGGACGGTATGCCTGTAAGCAGAATGTCTAAGCGTAATTCTATTTCCTAATGAGGTATTTACGGTTCATGTATCAGTAGCATCCAGCTATGGTAGCGGCTACCTCCGGTGCTTCTACTGCAGAAAGTAGAGCCGTACTACATTTTTTGACGAAAACGGGTAACTACGGGGTTAAGGTTGTGTGCATGGTCGATCTAACATGGACGAATAAAATCGCTCGAACTCCACCACATTCCATAATATGCAAGCCTCGACACAAAAAAGCAAAGTACGGAGGAAGTTTAGTTGTTTAAAAGTTCAGGACGTGACACAAGCAAGGGGACCACGGCAACAATATCTCTATCAGCCTTGTGGTAATTGATGTCAAGTAATTAGAGTATTAGTAATTAAACAAGAGAAAGCAACGGCAACACTGTAGTTGAAGCAATGATTTGGAAGCCACATGTCACTATCGCTTCCGAGTGGGGCACGAATGACGCCTGGTATGCATCTAGCTAGAGTTGCATTCGGTGCATATCCTGCGGACCAGGGGGGTGTCAGCAACCGCCCGCTGCGGATTGCGATTTCGGCGTTCACAGTGGAGAATCCGCAGCTTTAGTTAGATTCGATGCGGTTTGTATACGGAGTAATCCGCACAGCAGCTGGGGAATCATATTCTTACTAATCATAAATTGGGCTCGAAATCATCACATTTTATATAACAAGTAACTTTATCTTAACAAGTATATAAAAAAGGAGCCTTAGATAAATAATATACGCTAAAAAAATTAGCAATTTTCCATGTGGTTTGTCACGGACCTGACCTTGCTATATAGTACGCTGAGATTTGCGCCTTTTTGGCTGTGGCGTAGTGGTAAAGCTCAGCACCACTACGCAGTCGGTCTTAGGTCCTCACATGGTTGGAGAGAAAAAGAATACATTACAGGGAAAAATACACTATATATATGTGGGCGGTAACTCCGAATAATTAGAGATAGGTGGTGCGTGCACGGTTATAGTCAAAGTTGCTTTTCTTAGAAGAAAAAGCGTGTGAAGTGATGAAATAAGCTATGTAACTTAATCTAGCCATGGCTAGATTAGATTAAGCTGGATATATTTACATTTCTCTTATAGTAATGGAGGTTCAGTCATTAATTAGGTTGCGGTAGGTGTCACGATCCTCCCAATCGGGAACATTCGATGATTGAGAAACAGCTGCCCCAGGAGCAAAAGACTAGGATTCAAGGACAGCGTCCTTGAACTGTTCTCGCTTTATATAGTCAGGTCGTACAGCGCCGTCACAGTAGGTATAACTAAAGGTGATCATTAGTTAGCTATGGGTACAGCCAATCACTTCTCCGGAATTACCTATATTCTATCTAGCCTTATCACATCTAACACCTTTCACATCTGCAGCTGGTAATTCTCGTCCACAACAATAAGCAGTATACTCCCTCCCCTGGTCATTTTTATTGTCTTAATAATGGTATGCAGATTTATATAGATAGAAAAATATATTATTTTTTAAATAGTAATATAATTTTTATTTATATGTAGTTAATATGGTTTTTTAATGTTATAACTTTTTGGCTCATATAGTCATGCAAGAGCGATAATTATTTTTAAAATTTTGATGTGCGTTATTTAAATGGTAATACTGTGTATAGGATTTTTCAGACTTGCGGATTTGGTTGAAACCGCACCGCAGAATCCGTTCGGATTCCCGTGGATTCTGCGGATCCTGCCTCATGCTGTTCCTCCGTGCAACTCTACACAGTATGTGCATCCCTTGGCCGCACGCGTAATTGGTTGTGGGGCTAGTACCAGTCCATCCAGATCCCGTTCTTCCCCTTCTTTTAGTCTCGCGCCCAGGGTGTCCTTCCCCAGCTTCCTCTCATGCAGCTCAGGTTTTCTTCTGCGCAAATGTGCCGGTACGCAAACCGCGATGACTGCAACCGAAAGATCGCCGCTTGTCGAGAGTAATTCAGCTGTCAGCGAACCGGAAAATGGTGGACGGAATTCCGAAAGGTCTTTCGGATCGAATCAGCCTGTCGTTCTAATTATCCTTGCGACGTTTCTCGGTAGTAGCGATGCCCTCTCCTGCAATTAGGAGTCGACTGACAAGAAGACACAGGGGAGTTCCTTGCTAGTGCCGATGAATCACTCATGACTGCCATATACACCACTGTGGCCTCTGAGTTCCGTAGTCTCTCGCAAGGGTCATGGTTGCTGGTAGCATACAACTTTGGATACTGTATTTCCTCTCCCGTGGTCAGTTGTGTAACCATGAAGTTCTCCTAGCCCTTGGAGAGGAGACCACTGGATCACTAATTCCTGTCTGCTGTTGAGTAGTATGGCCTACTCGGAGATCTCTTTGGACGCAAGAATATTATCATTTGGTCTTTCTGTTTCTTTTTGGTAGGATGTATTGCCTGGTGCGATCTTTGTGCCCATGTCGAGCCAGAGAACCTGCTAACTTGTTGACAGTGGAGCCAGTACATCTATGATCCAATTAATCACGGCCAGGTTTCTGGCTGGACTAAGTGGCGCAGGCGTAGTCTCGTTAGTTGCGGTCATAATCACTGGTAAGGGATTCTATTTGAAGATTTCTGGACGACTCAATGTACTAACATGTTCACAGAACTTGTTCCTCCCAGTGATGTCGCGATCTTTCGGAGCTATGGGAACACGATCAACATAGTCGGACGCAGCCTGGGAGGGCCCATTGGAGGCTTTCTGTCCCAGGCGGTAGGATGGAGATGGTACGTGTTCCTGCAGATGTATATCGCCTACAGTTTCCTTGTTTCTAACTCACCATTCATTTTTGGAGGTCATTTTACGGTCAAGTTCCGTTGGTATTCATCTCCATTCTTATCATTGCTCGCCAAATGCCGTCTTCGCTCAACCAATCCAGAGAAGGCCTTGATTCCACCCGGGCAAAAATAAGGCAGATTGATTTCCTCGGCATCGTCGGTTTCACCGCTACGATCTTTCTATTTGTGATTGCGCTTCAAAATATTGACTGGGGTGGAAATCAACAACCACGTCTGTTTTATGTCCTGGGAGGCACTTTCTTGGGGTCTGCAATTGTCTTCCTTTCCCTGGAAGTATACTGGGCCAGGACACCGTTGATACCTGTGAATCTAATGAAAAGAATGTTTGGAAGCTATTGCATCTCGCAGCTACTGCTAATCACAGGTCGCAGTGCGGTAAGCCTCCCTCTTTTCAACCAAGTCCAACTTCCAGCCTAACCTAATGATATAGCTCATCCCTACCACGGTTCCCTATTTTATCCGAGTACATAATGCGAGCGACTTTACCGCATCCCTTGTTAACCTGGCCGCTATGGCGGGCGTGCCTATCGCATCCTACCTCAGTGGCATCTGGATCAAGCGGTAAGTTTTCCTTCCAGCTTCCTGTTCAGATACCGACAATCGTCCCTCCTAGTTTCATGAGCATTTTTCCTCTCATAAGCCTCTTTATTATAGCACTGGCCGTTACAAGACGATGGGGCTCATCTCCGCTTGTACGATAGCATTGGTATATCTGCTTGTTTTCTTCCGTTGGCGATACAGTTGTAGCCCGTGGGAGGTCTTATACCTTCTCCCATATGGCCTTGCAATGGGCGTCCTTTTTACAACCCAGTTCAGCGGCATGAACGCAGAAGTACCGACAGACCGTGTGGGGCAATGCATCGGCACGTATTATCTGTTCCAGCAACTTGGACGCATCCTAGGTCCAGTTTTCGGTCTTTCCTTGACGCAGCAGCTTTTTAAAGGCAGTCTGTGGAAGAGTCTGGGCCCAGTCCCCAAGAAACAAGAGGTAACATTGACGATCTCTCCATCGCACACACCCGGGATATAGATCCTAACTATTGGCTACAGCTCATCCAACGCATTTTGGACGATGCGCGATTCGCAATCACACTCCCTAAGCCGACACAGCAGACTGTCCGCTTGAGCTATCTGACCGGATTCCAAGTCGTACCCCGTATGTCTATTTTGGTGACTCTTACTTATGATGTGCTAATTATCCCTGCAGTCTTCGGTACACTGTGTACAGTTCTATCTTTTCCGCTGATGATACTTGATTGGGAGCGGTCATAGAGAAAACCGAAGGTGTAATCATCTCACCACGGCTTATCTAGTCACTACCATTAATATTTGCCGCCTCTTGCACTCAAGGTGGCGAATGTCCAAAGGATTGATTAGCGATGGCCCAGTGACTATATGCTAGAGAATCCAAACGCTAGACCATGGATTACATGGGTAGCTGTCAGTGGAACCATGATCTGAGGTTAAAGTTAGGACTTGTAGGAAACAGGAACGCCACTCAAAAGGGGTTAGTTTAGCACGCGTAATAAGCCACAAGCTGTCAAATAATAGGCTATAGTTCTTAGTCAATATTTTGAATAATCACACTAAGCACCCGGAGAGGGCGCTCCGACCTACGACTTGTTTTCAGTTTCAGTCTTTAAGTTAGGGTAATAAACAGATCAAATTGTATAGCGGGGTTTTCTTTGGCATAGAACCTGACAATATATGACGCGAAATCGTTTTGGAATTACCACCCCACTTCATGGATAGCCTGAAATTTTCATTGTATCAGCCACTGGATAGAGTTTATAGGAAAATCATCAGAGGAATGGTTCCGTTCAATTAATATCCATCTAAGGTCAACAGCATGGAGGATGTAAATGAGATAGCGAAGAGGACTTGCAAGTTTGTTGGATATGAAAATACAGTACGCTACTTATGTCTTTGACCTTTGTAAAGAAATCCATGGGACTATAGTACAGCAATTTCTTTCCCCACATGTCAAACAATGTGAGAGAAACCAAATAACTGCTGTAACAGACTGTAGAGCCTGGCACTAGATGATAAATGGAGGCGGGCTCCCTGGCGACTGCCTGAATTGTTCCCTACGCTTCCCTTTGCGGACCCTTTACAGAGCTCATCTGCTGTTTGCATAACCGTGCTTGAGCTAACCGGGTTATAGTAAGCGGACACCGAGTGTCCGATTTTTTGTCGCAGCATCACTAACAACTGTAAATTCCTCTATACTATCTACATTATCAAATGGAGGATAATTCTTATGATAGGAGAATTCTTCTGGCCCTTAATCGATTCAGGGGGGAGCAGAGCAAAAAATCGGATACTCGGTGTTCCCCGATTGTGGTACATTAGTTAGCAGCTAGTGGATGATATGGGCTAACCTGATCCAGCAACACCTTGCCTAGGTGGCGGGTTCTAGCAGCCGCCGAGCATTCGACAAGATCAATCCAGCCAATAATAAGTCTCAATCTCCATACCAAGAAACACTAGTCAAATAATATGGCTATACGTGGCAAGGATCATGTGATTAAGGAGGGGTCAAAAATGCTAACAAGAAGCGAAAGAACATAAAAGAAGAATAATCAGAATAACTATCAGAATAATCATTATAATCATCAATATAATCAAGTAGAGCCCAACCAGCTCAGATCATTCAAATAAGACCTTTTTACCAATCCTACTCTATTTCTTATTCGGGACTAACCGAATATTTGACATGTACTTTGGCTAATAAGGGACCCACAATAAGCCTCCAATCCATCCCCGAACTAGTTTAGATACCCACAGGCGCGGAAAATAAATGTTATGAGGAACCAATCAGAAAGGGCAACATTATACAAAACCCACATTAACAGGTAATTGACAAAAATATTAACTCGCGTTCCGTGGCGCACGGCCCGAAGTTCTCCACATTCCGCAAACAAAAGTAAGTTCTGTAACGACCTCGTCACTGTTGAGGCATGAAGGAGTCTGGGATTCAGTGGTAGCCGTAGCACACCTACCCATACCGCTTTGACGCTGAAAAGCGGTGTGGGTAGGTGTGCTACGGCTATGACGGTTACAATTCAGTTGCGCAACTGAAGGTTTTCGAAAGCTAATTTTAATTATCGTATTGACGTAATACGTTATAAAATTTTCTGTCGACCAAAGTGGGCCAATATTACCCATTATTCAGCATCCGCTCGGTCCGACTTTATTCCTTTGTTTTCACCTTTTTTCATCCAGCTCTCCCAGATAGATTCAGATAGTTAGAGACCTTAGAGACCTCATTTTCTTCAATGCATATCCATATCCTTATATAATCGGTGATACTAGCTCATACGCGTATTCAGCTGACCGACATTTTCGAAGTCTGACTTAGATGGATGTTTAATTATATTTTATATTACATTATTTTCATGAAATAGTTGTTATCCCACCATAGCGTAATTAAGTAGTATTTGTTGTGGAATTCAGGGGAAATGATGCGCAGGGAGCTATTCTATCAGCTACAGGCCAACTAGCCTAACTAGGAAGTAGATGTCCTTCGGTGGAAACACCAGGAATCACAGTATCCCAACCAACTGAGTCTCTTGCATTCCTATCTGGGTGCTCTCTTCCAGATCTTGGGTGCTTAACTAACTAAAGGATTCAGGGGTTAAATCAGTCGTCAGATACTCCGCACCGCCAAGTTGGGCGGATTATAGTGTTCTGTAATAGTATTTAAAGTAGGGTTGGTATTTGGGGGTGCAAAATCCGCAACCGCACAGCACCGAACTGCAGGTGCGGCTTCAGGCCCTACTCGACCCTTGCGGTTGCGGATTCTTGACCAAGGAGTTAGCTCTGGTCTACAGTAAAAGCGGGTAGACGCTACCTATATTCTCTTATCCGACCTCTGTCTTGTATTACCCTCCCTGATGTATACACCTATACTACCAAGATAGTAAAAAATAATAGCGCCTTGTAAAGGGCTAGAGCCCGTTTGACCTCTCGGGCCAATGTCCCTATTATCCCTGTTGTCCCTACTGTCCCCGTTGTCCCTATTGTCCCTACTGTCCCCGTTGTCCCTATTGTCCCTACTGTCCCTGTTGTCCCTATTGTCCCTACTGTCCCCGTTGTCCCTATTGTCCCTACTGTCCCTACTGTCCCTACTGTCCCTTTTGGCCCTGTTGGCCCTTTGGGCCATTGGCCCTCGATCCCTGTCACGTGACTCCCCATCTTGTTTGTTTACCGCTCATTTTCCTCTTCCTTTCTTCCCTCCTTCAACGATTCCTTCTTGTACATAACCTATCTGTAGGTTCTACGGGTTCAGCCCTTGACAATCTATCCACTAACCAAAGCCAGTTTGGTCCTAATATAATATATTCTCCTCGTTGTCTTTGCATATTTTAATTCCGACGATTACTAGCATCCGGAAGTATTGTTCGATACATGGAGAAAAGACAGTTACTAGTAAAAAAAGAAGAAATTAGTATAAATATTAATAAAAATAGAGATTTATACCGAGTAATTATATAACCCTGGCTGTGTATATAATAGTGCAAAAGCTCTTTACCATATCCCTGGATTATTCCCTTTTCTGCCTCAAGAAGAAGTGCTTGTAGAATCTGCTTTGTTTAAAGTTGCTGCTGCTGAGCGCCACGTACACGCTGTAGAAGACCAAGCTTTGTACAGACTCTTTGAAAAGTACAGGAGCTAATTAAAAAGCCTTCTTTATACAATACATAAAGAAGCTTTTTTTTTTCTAGTCCAACCTGGAAAAAGAGCACCTGAATGCAGCATGTAGATGGGATCCAAGCTTTTTGTCCTGTCCTGCCTTTTAGCACCCCATATTTGAAGACGATTCTCCAATATACTCTTGGCAACTTGAATACTGTGCCTTTTTTTAAGATAAGAAAGAATAGCATCAACTGTTTGTTCTGAATTATAGAGAGAAAGAATATCAGCCTTGTACAGCACAAGATTAATGGATTTGCGGCCCATGTTTATACCTGGAGAAGAAAGAAATGTCGTACGTAGTATAGTCCCATATAATATACCATATCATTATGCAACTAGATTAAGTAGGAAGGCGGTTAGAGGTGCGGTAGGAGGACTCAACGACAAAATTGATTTCTGGGGAGTGGCCTTAATGGCTTGCCGTACTCGTGGTTCCATCCCGCCCCTTTCCGGCCGTAAACATGGAATCGGTTGTTGTTTATAATTCTGCTATACATATAGTCTGCGCTTACATCATGCCTAGACGCAAGCGGTCCGTCGTAGAACCTGTTCCTGACGATTACCAATATTGCTCTCGCTGTAAAACAATCCGTGAGGTCCTTGACTTTTCACGCGTTGCTCCTTCAGGGGCGCAAGCTTCTAAACACTTCGCAACATGCTTTACTTGTCGTGTATGCCCAGCTTAAAGTAAAAGGAATACCACCGTCATAAGATGCTGCATGCACAGCTTCATGGAAGACCGATCCGCGAGTACATGTTCGACGACTTTGAATCCCCAGTATCACCGCTCGCGGATGCAGGCTTGCCCCAAGTGTCACTTATCCCCAATACTCTTCATTTTCTTCAACTCCGACCTACTAAACCAGCCTCTTAACTATCACGGTGGTGCATCGGCGTTTATCGGTGACTATGTTCGCTGGCGCTGTGGACCGTCCGCAGGAGATAATATTCGGAAACTCCAAGAAGAGGATATCCCGCGAATTAAACAATAGGCCAGACAAATAGGATCATGCTTCGCCCCCGAGAAAACTGAGCTTCTTCATCTAACTGGGGAAAATGGAACACGGTAAAGAACCGCTAGTTATAGAGGAACGGCCATTCAACCCTCAGCCACAGCTAAAATCCTCGGATTAGTGTTTGACAAGAAGATGAGGTGGAGGGAACATATACATCAAGTGTGTAAACGAGCTACAGGGGTGAATATGGCACTGGGAGGGACAAGATATCTCCGCCCAGGACAAATGAGGCAATTATAGAAAGCCTGCGTGATACCAATTGCGGAGTATGCCTCTACAGTCTGGCACAGCCCTCTAAGATGCGTTTGAGAGCACTCAACTCAATTTAAAGATCGACCTTGATTCAGATCCTGTCTACGTATAGAACAGTTGTGATAAAGTAATGATTTGCATCTTAGACGGTTGCCTAATGTGCGGGGTTCACACCCCCGAGTACTTCACCTCTTTTCCTGTATTCGAGAGAAGAGTGCGAGTCAGCCGTCCAAGCAAGTATGATAGTTATCGTGGTCTAGGATATCAATATATCATTCCCTATATTAGGCAACTGGTTTTGGTCCTAAACCAATTACCCGTTTGCGGGCACGAAGGTCGGGGGTAACCCGCGGGTAGTCAAACGTATCAAGCACCAATACATGCGTACATAAAAGTAATGAATCAGCAGGTGTATACATCTAACGTGGGCACCCGCCAAGGACCCGCGGGTTTATGGACTTGGGTTTTGGTTCTGACCCCATTATCCGTGAGCGGGTTTTGGCCAGGTCTAGGTATGATGGTCCGAGTTTAACAATGCAGCTATGGAGTAGTTAGCAGACATCGTGTTCGGACCTAATTAGTCTAAAAGGGCGGGGCAATAAACAGCGGCACACCTGCCTAATCCCACCTAAAATGGGTTAGCTATATTATTAAATACTCAGAATTCGTAGACTGTGGTCTACTCAATTAATTTCAAGTGGGATCGGGGCATATGACCTGCTTATATAACCAGGTTGGTGTTCAAATTTAGGTGGGCAATTGTAGTATTTACGCATTAGCTAACTCTGCCCACTGTCTCATTCCCAAACACAAGTTTTGATTAGTGTGGTCAGGCTGATTTCTTACACAATCATTTGGGTCTAGCTGATCCAACACCAGCCCGAAAAAAAAAATAATATTAATAAATCAAAAAGCCTTGAGCTCCATCATTCGGTGTTGTCCCACCCCTGCCACGATGGCTGAGAGAAAGTGTCAAGGAGCAGACTGTGCAAATGATGCGGGGACTTTACAGTGCCCGACATGTCTGAAAATAGGCTTGAATGATAGTTTTTTCTGCTCTCAGGATTGCTTCAAGAAGAACTGGGTTTGTTTACGTCTCTTCCGAGTAAGACATGAGGCTGACAGATCACATGGGGTAGAACCAACATAAGGCTCTACACAAATCAGCCCAAGGCAAGACACCAGATGGCATCATCCACAAAATCATCCCTCCCAAGGTGGTCACTAAACTTGATCCAGTTACCGGACTTTATAATCCTTTCCCGTCCTATTCCTTCACCGGCCCGGTCCGACCGGTCTATCCGCTCTCAGCAAAGCGCAGCGTCCCAAAGTCGATCAAGCACCCGGACTGGGCCCAGACCGGGATACCCAAGGGCGAACGACGCTTGAGCAGAACGAAGATTGACATTTTAGATGCCAAGGGTCAAGAGGCCATGCGCAAGGTCTGCCGACTAGCTCGAGAAGTACTGGACATCACGGCCGCAGAGCTCAAGCCGGGCATCACCACCGATTACCTGGACGAGGTCTGTCACAAAGCTTGTATTGAGCGGGATGTAAGCGCCACTCCCTTTAAATTGACATGGATGGTTCCTAATCTGACCAGTCGTATCCTTCGCCCTTGAACTATAATCTCTTTCCCAAATCGCTGTGCACGTCACCAAATGAAGTGGTGTGTCACGGAATCCCCGACCAGCGAGTCCTCCTCGATGGAGACATCCTTAATCTCGACATCTCGTTATATCACGACGGCTATCATGCGGATGTCAATGAAACATATTACGTAGGCGATCGAGCCAAGGCGGACCCCGATTCGGTCAGAGTAGTGGAAACGACACGGGAATGCTTGGACATGGCAATTGCTCTCATCAAGCCCGGCACACTAATCCGAGAGTTTGGCAAAGTCATCGAGCAACATGCCGAGTCAAGAAACTGCAGTGTTATCAAGACCTGGGGGGGCCAAGGTATCAACACCGAATTCCATCCCCCGCCGTGGATCCCTCATTATGCCCAGAGTAAGGCGGTGGGAACCTGCAAACCCGGAATGACTTTCACCATCGAGCCCATCTTGACGCTGGGAAGGCCTTGGGAAGTCTATTGGCCGGATGATTGGACCAATGCAACGGTTGATGGTAAATGGACGGCCCAATTCGGTGGGTGCTGAAACACTTTCACGCTTCGGGTCCAAGGCTAACAAACGTGTAGAACACACCTTACTTGTTACAGAAACAGGTGTTGAGGTCTTGACTGCTCGAAACAAAAATTCCCCAGGTGGTTCGATACCGATGCCGACTACTACAAATGGGATAGCAGAAGCTTAGGGTGCATCCATTGAATAGTTTGGCCTTAGGCATCGTTCAGACCTCGCTTATCATATACCATGACAAGTTTTAGGAGTGGGTGCCAACATGAGTGTGAAAGTGCAAAATCCGGAGCTTCTAGAACCAAGGGCGAAATTACGAATAGGTATCTGGTAGAGATTTGCCATTCGGACGTGTTTCTTACAACCCGGAAGGTATCGGTGGTTAAAGATGCCTGGGAAACACCATTACTGTTGACCAGAGGTCCTATCCTATGCCGTCCATCCTCCCCCCCTTAAATATAGCCTGGTGCCGCGTGGTAGGGAATCGGCCTAATCCTAAGTAACGTAATCCACAAGAAAGCGATCCACCCCAGTTGGCGAACCACTTTACAACTCCTTCATTTCTCCATCATTTCAATCATCTCAACTCCACAACCTACAACACCATGGATTCTCCGGCTCGGCATAAAGGTAGAAAGGTAGAATGGAACTAGCGATACAGATATTTCGGAAAGGCCAGTTTAAAAGTGTTTGAGCCACCGCTAAGGTATACGATGAAGCATCGCCTACGTGGACGCGTCGCTTATGCTGATTCTATTTCCTCGCTTCGAGTGCTCACTCAGAAGAAAAAACACTTCTAAATTCCATTATTTCGTCGGACGATATAGGACTTTCATTACCAAGAAATTATTATGTATAAAACCACCTCGATTTCTTAACTTCTTTTCTTATTATTATTTAAAATTACGTGTCTAAACCTTGCTTTCGCTTCTAAAGATAAAGCCGACCAGTGGATTGCGCGCAAAGCACGATGTGGTATTTGATTTCTTTTCAAGGGGAAGTGCTCGGCTATAGCCTGGTCTTAGGACTCAGCTGCGCAACCTACAATTTTGAAACTGGTAGCTTCTGAGAATCAGAAGAACAAATCCTGGCGGGCTTCACCTGAGAGGATCTGTGACGGTGCAAAACCTATAATCTCTTATTGTCTTGGCTGTTGGATCAAGTTCTAAGTGGGAGACCAGAGGAGAGTGTTGGCTTAGGGCACAATGAGAATGCCTGTCCACAAACTGGGCCTCGGTTGAACTGCCGAGTGTAGCGGTGGGCTTCTTTAGATTCCTCACATTTGCGTAACACGACTACTTGTTATGACGTGTATCCTTGAGAAAATAATAATACAGGTCCATGACCTAGTTAGCGAAATGATAAGGCCTACTAAATACTCGCAACAGAACAGCGAAGATATCTAATGCAGCGGCTGCCAGGCAAGGCATCCATACTTCCGATGGATTAGTAGCGTGGCTAAAGTAACGCTGCAGGCAATAAGAGACAAGGAAGGTTTTATCATAAGACTCATACACAAAGTCTGGAAACTTGCTCTCCGATGTGGTGTTGCTTGACAATTTCTTTCTCGTGGGGTGTTGGCTCCGAGGAGACAAGATGAAAGACTTTGTTCTAGGGGAGATGAGCAAGAGACATAGTCTTGCAAAAAATGAAGATTAAATTGCGATATATCTACTGTCCTTTGAGGGTGGTCTATTGATCTAGTGCTTTATGTTTACATGAAAAAGTGTGTTTTGAGATTTTATTCCGGCCTGAAGTGAAGCCTGATCATCACCAAAACCTTTGTTCTTACAGCGCAAAGGTCCCAACAAGCTCACTTCAGAACTATTTCGATGGCATTGGGCAGCTTCTAACAATAATCACAATAGGCGCATGGTCGTGAATGAAGTGTTTCTCGAGGCGGAATTTGGAAGACATTAACGCAGACAGACAAATTACGCCTTACTCGATATTCAAAGCACAATGGTTCGTGGGCAAGGTAATATATCATTTCTATATCCATATGGAAAGAGAGGATATAGTTAAACCCGTGGTAAGAAGAGAATTACCTGGCCCGAAGTGAACTAATTCCCAACCTAGATCCGCCAATGGGGCAACACTCAATTCTTGAACGCTGGAAAATTCGGTTTATTATTTTCATGAATGTTCACAACTTTCCCATCACTAACATATGTCTCTAGATTTATTGTTTCGGGAAATGTACACAGTAGTACTTTGTATTCATTCGTTCTAACAGTTGATAAGAAATGCAATCATATAGGACCATGCTCAAGATTTCCGTGACCATTCAGCTGATGCTCTCATCGGTCTCAAGACGATCCCTCTGCTGCTGTCCCAACCGGTGGCGAGGGAGCAGTGAGCCACCTTGATCATTGCTTGGACAATTGGCCTCATCGCCTTATGGCAGCCATCCGTGGTGGCTAATAGTGTCTTTGCTGCTCTATGTTTACGGTGCGTAGGTGGAGGTCTGCTGAGCTACGACAAGATGATTGCATTTTGAACCGTTGGTAAGGGATGAGTGAACTCGTTGACTCTCTGGACAATATAAAGATTCCGACAATTAGCCCACTACCGTCAACCACATGTCACTGAATAGGATTTCCATCGTTAGGTCACCGAGCAACACGCCGCGTGGCGGCAAAACTCCATGTCTAGAATGGTATCGAGGGGTTTTCTATCGCAAGTCTAGCATCCTTATAACACATGAATTGTGTTATTATCTCTAGAAATAGTCTAAGTATTTTCCTTTAGTATTTTTCTCCTAAATCATATCGTGACATGACGACAGAGCCCAATGCCAAACGGGGAAATTTATGGGTGGTCCGCGACTACGATGCTCAAGTTGAGTTTCTGTTTCGTGACGTGATGGCCTTTTATAAGGGAGCATCGGATCCCGACTTCCAAGAACTACAGTCAGAAGGGGAGCCTTTTATCAGTGAGATCCACGTGGAAGTCAGTACTGGTTGGATAGAGACATACGTTAACGAAAGGAAGATGGTCAACCTTGGTGACGATGGGAAGCCCCATTATCCAGTATTCAAGGAGCTCAGTATACCTCCACAGGCAGAAGTTTTTATCGAGGGTGAATAAAACCTACTTTTGTCAGGAATCAATTGACTGATTTGATTATTACCGTTCCAAGATGTTTCATTACCATTGACACGATGGAATTTGAATCTATGCAGCTTTTCCGCACGAACATAGGATAGTCAAGGAACACCACATCGGAGAGCATGTCTCCAAACCTCGTGTAGGAGCTTCATGGTGGAATCTTCCTGGACTCTGATTGCGTCTAGCGTTACTTTGGTCACGCCACTTAGTCCATGGCCGTCACTGTTTCTCGTCGGTCCGTTGCGATTATTTATAGGTCTCATCGTTTCGCTCACTTGATCGCGTATCTGCACGATCATAGCCTCAATGATGCACATCAAAACAAGTGGCCGTGTCGACGAGGAGGTGGGTAGTTGAAAGGAGCCGATGGCTAGGCTGGGTAGTTGAATGGGAAAGTGTTCATCAGAAATAGACACCCCCATCTTCAAGCGGATATCAGTCCAAGTTTTGATGTGCTGCAAGATTTGGTCATATGACTCGACAAGGCACAGATAGCCAGATAATACCAGCAGTTGTGAAGATTGGTCTAATTCTAGTGGGGCCGTCATAACCCCTGTATCCGGTCGAGAAAGGATGTCGATCAGAATTTCTGTAAATTGGTATGAGAGATTGAATGTGCGATCTACCGCAACTTTTTGATCGCGCTGAGGAGAGTCAGGGCCGCTCGTCCTCTGTCCTGTAACTTGCTCTACTTCAATAGCAGCGATTGACAGCTTATGTTGGTGAAGCTGCATGTTAATATCTGAGAGTTTACAAATCCAGGATGTCATGGCCGGGTCACCAATCGAGTTCTTAGGTGTAAGTCCCATATTGCAAGCGTCCCGAACGTCACAGTGGCTGGCCTGGGGCTGATGACCGCAGCCAGACCCTGTATTTTCACTGCCAGCATTTGGAGTAGTCCCTTCCTGGTATTCCAATCCAATGAGCTGAGTGTTGGTTTCGCCGCTGAGGCTCTTTGGAGTTGAATTTCTTGCCAGCGACAACCGGTGTCTGGGTTGGTTTAGAGGCACTTCCGAGTAGGGGGCCGATGGCATGGATGCAGAAGTGGTTAAAATATCGGAGTTTGGACCAGGGTCATGGTGCTCGCTCGCATGTTCCTGTTCGGCTCGCCCAGCACTAGCGCCACGACATCAAACTTCTTCTCGTCTTTGAGGATCAGGCTTTCCCCACCAGTATTTACGCATTGGCTAATTGAGATGGTATGTTCACCGGAAGGTAGTGAGGGGACCCAGTGTGAAGGGCTAAAGCCAAATTTATATTCAATCTAGCTAGGCCAATTGCAATCTATCAAAAGCTTGAAGAAACATGAAGAATATGGGAGTGCGTGATGAAAACAATGTTCGCGGACGCGTGCTTCACGCGACCATGACCAGGCCCTGGCCTGTTACAGTATCCCCTCCCTCCCCTTCAGGGGCTTAACAATTGTAATCGTATAGCTCCTGCGCGGGTGCGGCGCGGTGACGTGCGCTGGGACTGACGCTTGGGCTGGGGCTTGGACTGATGCGGGAGCTTACGCTGAGGCTCGGATTTGCGCTGTGGGTCGGATTTGGGCTGGGACTTGCGCCGTGACTTACGCTGGGAGGGTCCGTCGTAGAGATGTATGGGGCCGTTGTTTGTTCGCATATCCTCATACTTCTGTTCATAATCATCCAGTGCAGAACAGTTTTGTAGTACCCGGATATTGTGCCACGTGAGCTCTGCGTATCCAGTCCATTTTACAAGGGCTATTTGTGTCCCCTGTGTTTTTGCTGCCAGGGTTTCGTCAACTTGCCATTCGGAATGGCCATCCACTTTAATAGGGGGTGGCTGGGTGTCGGCAACGACCTATGATGGTAGCGGATCGGTGGCTGCTGGCCGTACCAACTAGGCTGACCGTTAGGAAGGGATTTTCCCATGGGAAATCGGGATGGGATTCCCTTCCCGTAAAATCGGGACAAATTTTTTGAAAAACTGGGGAAAGGGAATATCCCATTCCAAGTCCCTTCTAATGGGAGCCCCTTCCCGAAAGCCTTGGCACGGGGTGGGAATGAAAATGCAATTCCCAAGGGAACTATGGGACGGGACTGAAACTTGCCCGGGATCCCGTATCCCGTCCCAACGGTCAGCCTAGGTTATTCGCACAGCGAAAATGCGTTCTATATGTGAGAAAGGGTTTTCCATCAAGCAGTTGGCAGAGATGAGTTGTATGAGGCCGAAAGTAAAAGGGAAGGATCTCGTAGGTCTCGCAGAGTTAAAGAAATTCAACTGTTTTATAAGCTGTATGGCTGTTAAAGATAAGTACGCGTTTTTCTCCTTTTTTTGTACGATCTTTGGTCTCCTCGTGAAATTTTTGAAGCCATTCAAGCATGATTTCATCGATTATATAACCTTTATTTGGCCCTACCCGCGGTAACGTGGGAAGTAGTCCAATGTAACAGGCAATAAGTAATGTTACTATCCTGGATCAACCACCACTCCTTAATGGAGAGATTCTTTGGTTCACCCTTCAATACTTTACACTTGTTGATCATTACGTTCACGATTCTGTAATCTATGACGCTTATATCCAACGAGTACTGATATCATCGATGAGCCTAGAATGTTATAAAAATCTCTGTGACCAGAACTAGATATTCTCCAATTTCTTCCATCAGTCTGGATCGTTCTTTCACGACCTCTGCAAATTTATCGTGAACTCTTCCTAAACCAGTGCACACCTTCCCCTTCAGAACCCATCGTCATGGCCGATTATTTCCACAATTATCATCTCCGCAGACCCTTCTATGCCCATCTCACACAGTTGCATAAAGGTAATGGTGCCGGTGACTGGCATCGATGGTTAGTCGCCGCTGCTACACGCGAGGACATGAAAACATTTTTTAGAGGATTACAGAAGTATGCCCAAACTTGCAACGCAAAAATAACCGACGTGGAACCCATCAATCTGGCGTGGTGGACTTTCCAAGCTAGGGAAGGCTATGATGTAAGGGAGCTTGTTCGTCAAATCTACCGGCTCAACCCATCTTGGTACAACAACATCGAGGAACTGAACTCTAGTCGCGGTAAAATCAACGTGACAATTTTGAGCGATGCGGGGGGAAGAGACTGGCCGATACTTCCTCCCCAGGACGTTTGTCTTGATTGCTAAACCAGTGAACTGCCTAGTAACTATTATTACATGTATCCTTCAAACCATGTTCATTTGTATGATTTTTCTCTTGCTGCAGTAGATTTAAGCCTGCATGACGCTCCCGAGCGGGACTGTTCCCCATGGTACAGTGGAGTTGTCGGCGAGTCAGGACCGTCTGCGCCCCAATATTATTGACTTAATTGGTAGTAAGATTCTCTGGTGGTTAGTTAGTTGCATAAAATAGGTGAAATACCGAAGCTTCCCTAGCTAGCGAGGTAGCGTTTAATGTAAGATCATGACAAGAGGGAGGTTTACTAATACTAAAGTGACTAAATTTAGTTAACTACCGTACTTCACCGCCCAACGATCGGAACCACCAAACGATCGATTTTGTATATGTTATTGTTTGATTATTGGGGGGGTCTGAAGTGATTGTATTCAGAAGGATTGTCAGCCCAACCCCTCTATGAGGAGTATTGGGTATATATATTCACATGTCCCAATATGGACTAGCTTTATTCTGACAGTAACATGGAACCGGAGGATGTTGCTAAATAACTAGTAATGTTTTATGACTTGAAGGCATTACTGGAGAAAAAGTTAATAGAATTATACTATATAAAGCTGTCATTAATGGACTCAGAAATTACCGTAAGATGGACAAGTTAAAGGTACTTGGCAAAGAAGGAGGTGTTACTATTGATAATCTAGTTAACCGGCGAGGGACCACATTTCACGTTTTGTTACCTTGAGCGATTTTCGTAGTGTAGTTGGATAGATTGGTTGGTTACCGGGAGAAATTGAGGACAAATAAAGACTTCGGCCGAGTGTAGTGGATGATTAGGTTCAGCTCGTCGAGGAGATCTCGCACTGGGCTCCGTTGTTGCAATGTTCCAGATGAGTTCTGAGTGGACAGATCAAGCCTTGCACGACCAGTAAAATGAGTGACCTCGCATCTGACGGACGTACCAATGCCTGGCTAAGAGTGAATTAATATATAAATACTACGATTCTGTTTCTACTTTTAGCTCTTATACTACAGACTCCTTCCATCCACACCTTGCTCTTTTTAATCATTTTTATAATAGTCGCATCGGCAGGGTCGGAGCTTCGACAACCATGTAGCACGAGCATTATATTCTTTAGAATTACATTGGACCGTTGCAAGAGCAGAACTGCATTTCTCCTCTAAAATTAATATTTTTTTAACTATCTGCACGGTTAACTTTTCTTGGACAGTCCCCGAATAATTTTAGAGTTGCCTCGCCCTTGAGGGTCCAATGGACCCCGGCTTCGATCACATTTATCGCCACTCGGATATTTGTTTCCCGGGCAAACACCATGTTCCGGGCCTGAATAATGAAGAAGCGTGCTTCCAAACTAAGCCCTTCCGCTTTTGCGCTCTAGCTGCCGTAAAGCAAGTTTGATATACCCATCCAGGACAATCACCCCAATCCCCATCTCTGTAGGATGGCTGGCTGCACGAATGGACTGGTTTGCTCAAGAAATTCTAGTTTATGAAATGACTGTAGTAGTTCGGAGACGACGTATGTCCATTGCTTGGAAACTTTGGTGTAGGTGTATCTTTATGGCATGGCAAGATGATGTGCTTATATATGTAGCGGAATCGGTTCCATCCGCTGCACAGAGAGAGTTTTATTCGTTGAATTCTGGTGGGCTGCATAACGAAGTTCAATACATGCTTTGCTACTAGAATGGCACAGAATGGTGAATTACATTATTCTAAGGTAATGCCTCGATTATTGTTGGCCCAGGGGATCCTGTTACAGAGCCCAGGAGAATGTCCCACTCAGAAATATCCGGGCCCGACTATCTTCCCTATACAAGTGGTATAACAGCTGAACTAGAGTAACTAAAAAAGTATTATGTATGATATATAAGTATTTATCCCAGCTAATGTTATTTAAGATGGAGCCCTAAGATGATACTCCCCCGCAATTTTCCCTCCATGCCGATGCTGTGACCCACATGATACTATTACAAAACCATGCTGTATCTCTTCATCCAGTAGGAGGATGTATTGAGACATAATCCCTAACATACCTGTTCGCTACGACAACGGTAGGCGCTGCAGACGTTGCAGAATATCTCTGGAGGAAATACGGAGGTTACACTGGTGACTAGAGCCGCGGCAATAGAAGTAAGCTAAAGAATTAACTATGTACTGCTCCAGATACAATAGTTAATGAGGTTTGAGGGTCACGGGCGGGGTGAGAACGAAGGCAAGACGAGCGCAATCGCCCGGCCACTTTCAGTCCCTAGTATACTGTAATATAACGGGCATATGGGAGTTATTGTTAGGCATTCCTGGTGGCATCTGCTGCCTGCAATGCCTTCTTCACGCATTCCAACATGCTATGTTTTTCCACCATTCCAACTGAAATGCGCACTAGCGTCTCGCTCAAACCATGGCTCGAAGCCCAGGTCTTCTCCTGCTGAAGAACCAGCTGCACATAGGGATAGAGATAGGAATATCAGCTCCAAAAGACGGTCCCTTGTAGAAGGGCAGGCTATCAAAAAAGGCAGAAGCAGCAGCGACGGTGTAAAGTCAACTGTAGAGAAAGCCTCCATATCCTGGTGTGAAGTCCTCAGTTGCGGGTCGCATGACATATTGATAATTTGTCTTAGACCAGCACACCTTCGGATAGTAGACTGTAGCCAAGGTGCTCTTGGCATCACTCGTGTAAGGGCATAGGAAGTCAACCACAGCGGAGGCAGTGTTGTTTTGCTGTGTAAAACGCTCGAGGTAGCCCCGACTGTTGAGCTCGAGCCGCATCGCGTCCGCGAGATACAGGTTATTGGTATATTCGGCATTAAAGGCATTCTTCAATTCCGGGTAGTGTGGAAAGTTAGAGTTTAGGAAAATGCTGTGTTAACGTGTTAGTTCTCAAGCCTGCAAAGTTTAGTCCCCTGAAGGGGGATTTGGAGACTCACCTGCCCGCAAGAACATCGGCAAACCCGTTGAAATATTTTGAAAGCGAGGTCACAACAATATCTGCAACATCCATTACATCCACATTCGCAAAGCTTCCGATCGTATCATCCACTACAAAGATAAAATCATACTGGTTGGCCAGTTTCCGTACACGTTTCAGGTTTGAAGTCCGCAGCATTGGGTTATTCGGGCACTCGCACCATACCGACTGGATCTTCTGACCTTTGCGACTCTTTTCAACCAATAATCTCTCCAGTCATCAATATCGCCCTCGTTCCAGCGCTCAAAAACCGGTGCGGGACATTCATAGCCTCAATCATCTTGATGGTAAGCTCGTAGGGAAAGCCCAGCATCATAATATCAGAATTCCGCCATTTCGGTAGTGCATGATGAACGTGGTAAATAGCCGCCATTCCTGACGGGTAAAGAACACATCGTCGCTTTTTGTCGCGCTGTGCTCGTCCAGGATTAGTGGGAGCACGGTTTAGAAACTCGGCCACTCTCTTCCGGATTGTGTCATAGACTGGCAATTCAGCGGAGGGGCTGTTTTAAGGTGTTTTGAGACTCTCATGATTGTGAAGTCTTTCCTGAGGCAGAACTGGCCAACCGGGACGAGATCCCCGTGCCGGTGAGTCGCCAAAACGTCATTTTTACCTTGCGAAATTCGGCGGGGTGCACGACACCGTACAGTCGAGGAATAAAAAGAACGTCCTCGGCGCTGGATGCATCTTGGGCCTTGTTAAATTCCACCAGCACAAGCGATACATCTTTAGGGTTCGCAGCATTGGCCGAATGAACTCTTTGAGAAGTAATAAATATCTTGCAGTCCTCCGCCGTCTGATAGTCTGGAAATAACACCAACTCTTCAGATGGGGCTATAAATTCCCGTCCACATTTGGCAAAAAGCTATCTCTCAAGCTACATTAAGAAAAACCACAAAAAATAGGGTTTGCAGTCACATACTGCTTGGTTATATTTGTGTAAGTGCGATCTTGGATATCCATTTGAAGAGCGTTGGCAACACGAGGCTTTCCTGCTCCATAGTCGCGGACGTCGTCCCATGTAGGGAAATGGACGGATATCGCATGATCTCGGTCAGGGATTGGGTCACCAAGAGCTTTTAGCTGGGGAAGGGCAGACATTTTGCGGGAAGTAAGCAGTGGCGCAATGACAGACCTAAAAAAAAGGAGCTGGGATGACAGAGACAGAGAGGTGTGATTTGGCCCACGGACAGTGTACTTATGACTACTATTTATGCTGTGAGCGAGCCAGAATAATTGCGAGATTGCCACTATTTCCGCGCCCAGCAGACGCATTCTTTTATCTATGATTGCGGTATGCTCCGCCTCCAGTATAAGTCGTACAGCATTTTCGATTTTATTGTCCGAAACTGGGCTGTGAAATAGAACATCTGAATGGTAGACAGGCATGTCTAACACCTCATTCTGTTGTCGTCGCTATGCTCCAGCTTCCGGTATGGCATTGCGAGGGGTGCTAATCGTCAAAGGGATAGATTTATTTTGGACTGTGGCATTTAATTAACTCTTGGTGACTGTCAAGCTACATGAATTATCATTCCATGAGCACGCACCGACCAAGAATCACTACAGTATGCACGCCATTGTTCAGCAGACGCCAAGGGTTAGGGATTGAATAGGCGTTGTACGATCTTTCATGTTAGACCCCTTGGCGCTATCCACAGCTGAGTAATGTACTGCGGAGTAAATACTTTAGGTCATGTCGGCCAATCACCTTGAGGATCTTCTTGGCATCCAAAGTATTTGCTGAATCAGCTGTTCGTTTGCGGCAGGCAACCTTTTCATAACAAGCACCGCCCAACACTATTAAGCAGGTAGGTTATCCTGATGGGCCGGTTTACGTACCTTTGGTGACCCAATCTAGAACCGGTCGAGTCGATGGACGCTGTTTAACGTTAATGGCTTTACACAGGTCGTAAATTATAATACTTCCGGGGCGTTCCGAGTACTAGTGCACGGCCCTCCCAACTATGTACTCGGGGTAACTAGCGTACCCGAGGATAGGGGTCGATTAGAGATTTTCCGTATACATACCTGAAAGTACATTCCAGAAATTTGCCCATTGCTTCCGTCTTGAACAAGAATTCCTCAGCTTTGAGGTCGTCAATCGATTGCATTGACCACAAAGAAGCTAGCAGGACTGCGAGAATTATATATTCAGAGAAAAATCTGGGCATGAAATGAAGTCGAACTTTACAAATACAACAAATTTTATTCGTGAATCGTGTTAGTAAGCGAAAAATCTTAATTTATTCATATTCGTGCCCAACAGCTGCTTAAGTTATTCATCGTCGAAGAAAATTCTTCGTCTCTCTACACCTCTGCTTTCTCGCTTATATTGTATACTTACTATATTAACAGCTGCCCCATCCGTCTTCTATCTACTACCAGGACGGGTTGTTTGCAACCTTAATCTCGCCCCGCTATACTTGGATGAAGAAGAGCCCGCACGACCAACGCGATGAATGAGTCAGTCTCGTGGACAGTACAAGACTCTGGCGTAAGATCGTCTACCCTGACGGGTCTGGACAGCTTCCGCTCCATGCCATCGCGACGTGATATACTTATTCTTGCAGAGAATTGTGCGCATGTTTGCTTTTGGAGGATCAACACTTGTATTATCTATTTTTCTTTCCGCTCTGGGAAATTCAGAAAAGAGGATTGGTTTTTCATGTCGTGGACTCTAGTCGGCGACGTGGTTATTAGTTTATCCATCAGTGTGTATTCGACCGCGCGGGGCGCAGGCGGTTCTTGCTTGGGATCATTGTTGATGGCAATGAGTGGATATGTCTTCGCACCTGTGACAATTTCTGGTTGTTGCTCGGAGCTAGCGTCGTTGGAGTTTAGCCCCAGGTAAGTCCTGGCATATCCAACAGGTTCAGTCTCGCCCTGCAGCATTAACCGATTATCTCATCTCCCCTCCACAGTGGCGCAGATGTCGGTCCGTTCAAAGCCGTGGAAGAATCGGCCATGGCGCAATTAATGCCAGCTCACAATTACAACGTGATCCTCTCATGGTACTATATGCTGGGCTCCTGGGGAGCAATGATTGGGACGTTGTCGTGTGGCTGGTTGTTACAGTTGCTCGAGGATCAAGGCTGGGGAACAGTAGATGCATACCGCTGCGTTTTCTGGATATACGCAGCGATGGGACTAGTAAAGCTCACCTTATCGGTCATCCTTAGCCGAGAGTGTGAAAGCCATTTGACCCAAAATAAAATAGCTAACAGTGAGAATGAAGTACACGACCAAAGTGATAGAGAGACTGAACCACTTCTCCGCCCCAGCGATAACTCTCTCATCCATGCTGAGGAGCCACCCACCCTTATTCCTTCAATGAACGCAAGCACAAGAAACTTCGTATGGAAACTGTGCTTTGTCCTGATCCTGGACAGCATTGGAAGTGGTCTGTCTAATAATTCTTGGATGGCCTATTACTTCAACCAGAAGTTCCAGGTCGAACCTGGGATCCTAGGCTCCATTTTCTCCGGCTTCAATTTTCTGACGGCGCTGTCTAATGTGCTTGCGATTCCTTCCGTAAGACATATTGGGTTAATTAGAACCATGGTCTTAGGTCATACTGTGGCATCCACTGCGCTTCTTTTACTTCCTGTCCCCAGTCAACTCGCTGTCGCTACCATCCTGCTCCTACTTCGAGCAACCTTTATTGATTTCCATCAACCATCGCGACAGACCTTTATATCTCAATCAGTGGGGCCGAAAGAGCGAACTGCAATCCTGGGCACTGTGAATGTGATCCGGACCCTGGCTCAGAGCCCGGGGCCAGTGATCACTGGGTTCCTGGGGGATCGTGGCAAGCTATGGCTGTCATTCTCACTGGCGGAGGAATCAAGATAATGTACAATATTCTGCTGTGGGCTCTCTTTACTGATCCTGCCGAGCAAACCACTTGAATATTCCTCAACCGATTTTTGTAGTATGAAATTAACGATGTTTTTCTATATACGGTAATAAGGTTTAGTACTGTGCTGTTCCTAGTGGCTTAGGTTGGAAGGGGCCGTCGACGTCCTCCGAAGAATCTTCCTGTTGCTCGGCCTAGAGAGACTTCTGGTATATCTCGATATCCATGCGTTGTACTGGATCAGAATTGGATTTGTACTGCCAGAGATTGAGACATCCATCACTTGGCCGGGGGCGTGCTACCGGAAGTATTCCAACTTTCTAAGCGCCGTGGTGGGTCTGCCCATAGCGGGGGCGGGGCTCAAGGCCGGTAGCCTCCACTGCACATACCCGCGACTGGCTCTAAGCTCCCCAAATGTATCGATCCGAAATTGGAAATGGAATGCAGGGGGAAGGCACACCAATAGGCTCTATGTATATCCAATTAATGGTTCTGAACTACGTCACACGCTAATATCTGACATATGATGTATTCGTCCCTAGCAGGCAACCCACACCGCCTTCGCCTGTGTTGGTGCTTCCCTCCAAATGAGAATTTTACATCCAACTTTTCACTTTTTAAGCAGGCTTTTCAACGCCACAGTGGGACAAGATAATAAAGCTATTGAAAAAAGCATTATTAAGGCCTGCAAAGCATATTCGTCTTAAAAGGCGCAAAGATCGTGGTCATAATTCTAGGATAACGTTGCCAGTGCATACCTGCGGGATGATTTTTATTTTAGCAGAAGTGCGGACGGAGTTTACCACCATATCTCGATTTTGAAGGACTGAAAAGTATTGACTGGGAATGGACTGAACAAAGATACGGGGAGCAACAGACACCAGCAGTTGGACATCCAAAACACACTACGTAGTATGTCTACCGAAGTGATTGATTGATGCACTTGTTATAAATATGTCCGGGTAATAATTATCCTCTTTAGCTTACATGTTATAAGCCTTATAACACGGATGAACAATGGACACGGTTAGGCATCCCCCAATAATATCCGTGGTGCTTATTCGGGGTATTGTAATACCGAATGATCGGAGGGCTAGTATGCTAAGGCTTCCATTGTTTAGAGCGAATCAGTCAGATTATATTTTTACTTTCAAACCTAGTATTCTGTAGATGCATGCATACGTACTCTATACATGTGCGCAAACGGAGAGATTATTACCCGTCCCATCTCTCCTGACTCAGAGATGTGACTTACTTGGTACCTAAATAGATTAGCTGTTAGGTAGTTAGGTGGTAATTTCCAATTTCCATCCCGAACGAATCCCACTAAGTATTTTATTACGCCACCTAGGATAGTCTGGGTAGATAGACAATCGATTGACCAAAATTTTGATTTTTACCTCGGGAATAGAAAGAAAATCACAGGCCTACCTAGTACCTACTTAGTAGATTAGCAGGTAGGAGGATGGGTCTCGGTAAAATATCTATCTAGTGGGTACCAGGCGGTTGAAATTAGTTCCATTCATATTTTGTACGGAGTAGGGGGGTCGGAATCAAATCAAATCATGAGATGATAATGATGATAATGATCAGAGTGTGATTTACGCCTCTGAGTTAGTCAAAAGGATGGTGATTAAGATTTATTTGTCTGGATTATAACCTAGAATTAGTACTCTACGTCGTTGAGTAGGTTAAATGCATAGTTCAGTGCTGTTAGGTAGGTAGGCACTGTTGGATTGATAAGTCAAGGTAGCTTCTGACAAGGCAATACTTGTTAACTAATAGTACTCCGTACTTTCTAACTACCCGTGGTAGTACTGCAGGGGACGAGAAACCCACTTCGTAGTCACTGTTTGTTTGGGCTGCGGCGCAGGTGCGAGAGGGATGCCATCGAGACTAAGATTTAGTTTGATTGGTGTAGATTGAGAGAGGTACTTTGGTGATTGAGCACATATATCCGGAGACAAACCTTGAAATTGAACCTACCTAACAGAGCACAGACGACAGAGTAGGTAAAATACGGAGTAATATACGGAATACCTAACTGGCTATGATAAATTTATTCGGAACGGAAGACTGTCCATCCGGCGATCCCCTGAACATCAAACTAGTGGGGACAATTGGATCCACTGATATGACAAACTGCGTCTCATCCTCCCGGATGCACGTTAATATCTACTACAGTAAATAGTCGCTATACGCATATAATTCGGAACGCCTCGGATGCCTTACCGGGGAAGTA